CTCATTGACGTTGGCTTGTAAAGGAGCACGCCGTCTGATGGAAGTCAAACCAGGAAAGCACGTCGGCATGGCAATCTGGCCCACTTAAGGCGTCTTTTGACCTGCTAATGACCTTTCCTTGCTTCGATTCTGGACAGAGATTAGACAGTCGAACCGAAAAAAAACAACAAAACAGGATCAGCGTTCTTCCAACCCTACAATTGGGGTTCTCAAATAGGCCCCAAAATATACACGCATCCTCCCTTCTTGTCCGCAATGTCCAATAACATCCTACATCTGGCTCGAGACAATCATTTGCGAAGAAGCTTCAGCGCTCGCGAATCACCTCTGAGGCGGTGTCCGGACACGCCCCACGAAGACTAGCGCATCACAGCCTGTTCGTCACCAGCATCCAACGCGTTCCGACTTCACACCACATTCCGGCTTGAGACAAGAGTCTAAGAAAAGCGTCAGCACGTTCGCTCAAGGTGCATCTGAAGGCTCTCCGTACACGCCCCAGAAAAAAAAGCGCATCACAGCCTGTTCGTCACCAGCACACACCACGTTCCGGCTTCACACCACATTCCGGCTTGAGACAAGAGTCTAAGAAGAGCGTCAGCACGTCCAGTTCAAGGAACTTCTGAGGCGGTGTCCAAATACGCCCCAGACAGGGAAGCACATCACAGCCTGTTCAAGACCAGCAGACACCACAATCCGGCTTGAAACGATTCTGCGAGGAGCATCAGTGCAGCAGGGATTCATTGTGAGGCAGTGTCCAGACACGCCCCAAAATAAGCACATCACAGCCTGTGCGTGACCAGCACATACCGCAACCTGGCTTGAGACTCAGAGTTTGAGACGGGCATCAGCTCCATACGAAGACTTTGTGAGGCAGTGTCCAGACACGCCCCGGAAAGCTTAGGCATCACAACCTGTTCGTCACCAGCACACACCACAATCTAGCTTGAGACAAAAGTTTGAGAAGAGCGTCAGCACGGAGCGGATATCCTTGGGCAGTGTCCAGACACACCCCAAAAGGATAAGCACATTACAGCCACTTGATAGGCAGTCATCACAGATCGTTCTCCAAAACAAGAGCAGACCATAATACCATTTGCTTTTTCCACACCATCACTTTCAAATCCATTTACACCAAAACCGGCAACGAATCCCAATCAACTTGGCGGTCATCTCGTGAAGAAAGAGGTATCTGGGGGGATTGATTGTTATCTACATTAATCGTGATGTACGTTGATTGTGATCTACATTCTGCTCTTCACCAAACAACGGACAACGGAATTGCAGAGTGCGCGGCCGCTTCCCTTTACGTCCGCCAGTCAGAATGTGCAGATTCTATTGCTTCAATGTGCCGCTGTGTCGACCCATGAGATAACTCAGCACGACAGCAGTTCTGAGTTTGTAGTTTGATTGATAGCAACCAACGGACTACAGTAGGCACCGTGCCTGAAGACGTTGCAAAGTGCCGCGGCCAGCTTTCCTAACGGTACCCCCCTCGTTGACAAGTCCGATCCGACGTTGCGCAGCTGCGGAGAAAGCCCAGCGAAAAGGGGCATCGAGGCCCCTCCTTCATCAAGAAACGAGCAAACGACGAAAGAAGGGAACAAGCATCACATAAAGCGGGTCGAATCAAGAAAGCCCTCAAGCACCACTCGGAATCTGCACGGCGGAGTGTACGCACCAGCCAGTCAGTGTCGCGGCGGGAGATTACTGACGCCTAAGGAATGCCCCAAGGCTCCGGTCACATCCTTGCTCGTTTGCCTGACTTACACGTGCCTCTCATTAACGTAAACGACGGTCTTCGCCTCAGATGCAGATGCGCTTCGGAAGACGATTCCGCCATGAGCAGTATTATAGGAAAGTGCAAATTCAGCAGCAACAAGCAAACAGTTTGCAGTGGGGTCCGCTAAAAACACTGTTGCGTATTGTTTCATGAAGCAACTCACTACTGAGTCCTTGCCTTCGATATAAAGCTCCAGCTAGCGTCCCTCTTAATCGTGGGCGCTGTCAAAGTGCTCTTTCTCACTACAAGCTGGCAATGTTTATTTAAGACGAGATTGCGGTTACAATTGTCGCAAGGAAGAGCTTATGCCTCTTGAACTGCAAGCGTTCCCAATTAGTGCAACCCAGAAACCGAGTCTCCTCCGTTGAAAAGATCCGAAAGCGAATCTTGAGCTCACCCTTCCTTTGCAGGGTCAGCACAACTTACAAAACGGAAGCGTTGTGCCTTTCACAAGTTAGTTATAGGAGTCGAAATTATATAAATGTGGCTTCAGTCGAGAGAGAAGATCTGAACGGGTCAGAGACCCTCCCAGCGTCACTATTAACATCACCGCCTTAATGTAACGGAGCAGACGTCCGCTTGCGCCCCAATCATCGGACATTCAAGAGACATGAAGTGCAAGAGTCATCTCCCGTCGGACTTACAAAAAATTGACGACTTGACATCGGATCGCTTCGCAAGACTTTGAAAGATGAGGCCCGAACAAGGACAGGCGGTTCCCCCTCATACAAACGGACACCTTATTTTCTGCCACTTGACAAGGACACCGCTTTGCCTTGGGCTTTCCGTAGAAGTGAAACTATGGCGTCAGCATTTCGCCAAGCTACATCATGAGGATCTTGACCTCAGCATCTGCCGCATCCTGGCCCGTTTTGAGGCGTCCCCAAGACGTCATCTCTCGCAAGAAACCAAAAGTCAGACCACATCCATGCTTTGAAGCGCATAACGTGTGAATCAAGCCCGGGGCTAGTGGCAAGCGGAGCTACGACCATACCAAATGGATGCACTTGTGGGCTTTCTGTCAGCCTAAAACAACCTGCGAGAGGCCTTTCCTTGGGAGGTCGGACTGCGTCCCTGCTTGCGCATCAACCATGTGAACGTTCACCATGGTGCCTAATCTCAAATGGTTCAGGTAGGTCTCAAAAATGAGTCGGCCACGGCAACAGAAAAGGAATGGCAGGGATGCTGACAATCACCCTTAGCACTTCGGACGTAAGTTTCGCTTTCAAGGGTACGAAAGCTCGAACCCAGGACCAAGCTTTCATATGGAATGCAAAGGACAGATCAGGATCGTGTCAGCTGGTCGGGAGGAAGGCAAAAGAATTCTGCGCTCCCAGCGAAGATGCAATCGACAATCAAGGTTTCCCAAGGCTTGACACAGAGTGGCTATGGCATCAAACACACGGAGAGTGGTTGTGGGGAAATTTGTTTGCACCCCCCACGTTCATCTAGCATCACGGCCGTTGCCAGCGCCATAGAGTTCCCAGATGCCCCAAACGACAGAACAAGCAGCACTTACTGTTAGAAGGTTCCAAAGCAACCACTGAAGTGCACAACCTGTGCGGTGTCGCAAGCTTCCTACAAGAAACGGCGTCCGGGCATGTTTCTTTTCTTCCTTACAGAGCGTTGCAATAGAGGAGGAGGGCGTAATAAATGTGGGCAACTCGCAAACTCTAAGCATGTAAGCCTTGGGATCCCCTCATAATTTGTCAAGTGTAACCGATCCAGGCTACCTCGGGAGCAATAACCTCGTGAAAGATGCGCATCGACCGTACTTTGTTTGACCAGACGAATAGTTCGTTTTAAAAACACCAGGATGCAACGTCAGGATGGAACGGATGGCCTTTTGGGACATAAGCTAAGAGACGCCCCACGTCGGCTTCCACTTCAGCATCATTGCTCGAGATTTGAAGTTTGTAACTGAAGCTTACTGCAAGTTCGCTGTTTTGGCCGGACGTTATCTAAGAGCTCGAGGGCTTTTAGGACGAGATGCAGACGAACAGTTGAGAGAAAACTTGGACGAGATGGAAGAGACGAAGGAGCGATGGAAATGCACTGCCTACCGATGTTTCGAGCGCCACGCTCAGTGTACAAGAGAAAGAGCTCACACTACTTGAGGGTGCGGCGCGTTTTGTTCTCATAAAGGCACAATACAAGGACGCAGCCATAAGTGGAGGACGAGTTTCGCGTAACATTCATAGCGTTACAACTTTAGGACGAAAAGGCTGCGGCTTCTGAATGGAAAAAGCTCAATATTGGGCAAGCATTGGGCAAGCGCGCCCAAATGCAGATTGGCATCACAGCCACTGAAAGCCTGGCACGTGTCGGTTCGCAATCTGCTGAATAAAACAGCATCGATACACATCGATACAGCAGTTTGAAGACATGAAGTGATACGATCGTTTTGTCGTATACTAATGAGCCCGCCCGAATCTACACAAGCAGACTTGCGAACCCCAGGAACAGAGGGGAGCTGTTTTGGCGGTAAAAGCACCAGTTTCGGTCGCTTGCACGAGTTCTTTCGGAAAAGTCGTCAACACCCGACCAGACAATTCAGATTGAGGCCCTTGACACTTAGCGGACAAAGCAAGCGGCATCTTTTGAGATTTCTCCTTTTCCGCATAGTCGAGCGGAGATACCCCGTAGAACCGTTTGGAGCAACCACACCAGCAGTGCAGACTGACCCAGAACACGGTAAGTTGAACTTCGTACTCGGTATCGTCCTGAGATCTTGAATACGCTCGTTATTGATCATCGTGAATCCTAGCAGCGTCATGCTGACTCAATCTGCGGTGTGCGGTGCTCAGCCAAAGCGCCCGACTCGCTGGTTCCAATCCTAGCTGCGACATTGATGCAAGTGAGCTCAAACACTTTTCCAGCACTGGCCGAACTCGGACTTGCGGCTGAAGTGATAATGACGACGTCTCAGGAAACACAAGTCTTGCAACTTTGAGGTTCCGAGTCAAAGCGTCACAAGGTCTTTTCGAGGCGTGCACCACCCGCAACATGATACGAAAAACACCTCATCGCCCTGGCTTTTAAACAAATCTTTAGCATCGCCACGCAGTCTTGAGATTGTTGCCTAAGAACGAAAGACTTTCTTTAGCCGTGCCCACGAAGCGACTTCGCAGGCAATCCAAATGGAATCGTTTTAAGAGGTCAAAAGCACACAGATTCAAATGTTACCAACAAACATTTGAAAATGCTCCAGCGGGCTTACTGTGGGTCGTCTTCTGTCCTCCAACTCCACGCCCCGTTCTTCCATCGCTTTTCCGCAATCCGCCCATCTTTCCCGACCAGGTATACCGTTCCAGTAGTCGGATTGCTCCGCAATTGGAACGCATCCTTCCACGCCTGTTTCGGGGGGGTGCTTCCTCCGGCCTGGTTGACACTTCCCAGCCCCCCCATAGCGGAAATGGACACTTCTTCGAATTCGGCCCTGCAGAGGAGCCCGCGTCAAGCTCGTGTGAATTGACCAAATGTCCAGAAAAATGTTTGCAACTTGTTCAGAGGCTGATTGTCTGTTTGGCCTAGTGCTTGAACGGTTGCCTGGAGACTGGGCGGATCAGGACTGACGAGATACGAGGCTTACAAACGTGCACTCATCAGGGCTTGATGCCAGACGCGAAGGCAAGTATGCTACTGTAGACTGCTATTCTTGGAAAAGATCCTGGCAAGCTCTCAGTGCCGCGCTCGAGGGGGGGTCATCACTCAAGATAGTGCAGGAAACATTGACCGCTTGTCCGGACATCCTTTTAGACGTTGCTTCACTAAGACCGTTGAGACTTCTTCCTGCAATCCATAGCCGCGGTTTCTCTGCTCTTACCCTGAGAAACATAGCCGCAATTTCTTTGGTCTCACCTTGAGAAACACAAGAACGAAAAGCTTCCTCATTCCCTCACCTTTTCGGAACCCGCTTGCACTGGATCCCCCGGCCCGACAGCTCGCCCCTCTGGCACACCTTCTCCCCCCCTCCAATCTCTTCCCAACCCCTTTCCACCGGCCCCCCAAACCCTCCCGTCTTTTCCGTAACCACTTCCTCATCTTCTTCCTCGTCCTCATCATCGTACTCTAACTCCGGGTCGTCAGACCCTAACTCACTCTGGTCAGCCGCTAACCCAGGCCCTGACCCGTCGGTTCCAGTGAGCATGTCCGTCCGTTTCTTCGCGTTCTGGGGGGACTGCCTGCCCCCCCCGGCCTGCCGCTGCTGTGGCGGGGGGGTCTTTACCAGGCGTCCTTTGACCCCGTCTAAGCAATTTGAGGGCCCCCGCTCCTTGGAGCAGTACTCGGCGTTCCCGCCCTCGCTCTCCGGGACTTCCACGATGATCCAAAAGGCGTCGCTGGGCCACCCTTCGTTGACCTGTGGAGAGAGAGAAACGGAGGTGCCATTCAGGAGTACTCTTCAAAATGTCGTCTCTCTCTACTCTGGACGTTGTTCGGATCTTTCCTCGCTCCTGAGATCGTGGTGAGGTCGAAGAGAATTGGAAAGCAGCAAGAGCCCCAGGACGCGTTGCTGACACGCTTCAAAGGAGCTCGAAAAACGTCGACAAACAATGCTGATGTCTCATTTGCCCGGCACACCTACGACTTGATCGAACTCAGGCATAAAACCATACTCCGGCTTCGCATGTCCTTCGACCGCTGTAACTCAAAAAGGCGATAGCCAGGTTTCGGCCTGCAACCAGATTTCCGAGAGTGTTCCACTGCAATTGCAGACAAGCGCATGCAAAGTCCAATCATGGTTGCTCTGCCAAAGAAAGCGCAAGAAAGGCGTCGAAGGACTTCTCGCAACTTCTCTATCGACCTAACATGACTGGATGGTCGGCCAATCGAGACCGTATTTTGGCCAGGGCAAAACCGCTTATATATCGCACTTCGTTTCCCTGCACCTCTTGCAGCTTCCAAGTAGTTTGATCCACGCAGAAGAGACGGGCCACTCAAATTAGCCGAAATATGAGAATTCTTCTCTAGCCCATGCTTGGACACTTTGACCCTTCCGACCTTCTTGATGTGCATCTACAAGACCCCTAAAAGGCGCTTGACAACAACAAAAAGCTCACCTGGGCCCCGCTCAAGAAGCGCTCAATCAGCCGCCCGTCCTCCAGCATGAACACCAGCCGCTTCTTGCTCAGCTCGATCCCGGTCACCCCCGGCTGGATCGGAAAGCCTGCCTCGCCGTGGGGGGTCCAGGTGCCCTGGTCGGAGTCACCCCCGGACGAGCTTCCGTCCTTCTTAGCCGTACGCCAATTTGATGCCCGGGGCTTTGTGTTCTTTACCTGCAACAAAGCGAGACACAAGTCAGGGCATGTTTGCCGCTGCATTCGTACCTGCAGGAGAAAGTCAGCCAAAAGGACGACTGTTCATAAGGAGACTCGAACCCATTTTTTGGCCTCCCAGACTCTCTTTGTCCTGCACAACCCTTATCACTGGCAGCACGTCAACGATCAGCACAAGAAAATAAAAATTGAACAAAAGAAAGTCGCGAAGGTCCACTGGTAGCCATTGTCGCCTCTTCGGCTTTTGCACCGGCTCAGAGAATGACGCAAACGAAAGTCCTTGACAACCACGCCAAGGCAATTCTCATCACAGCCCACGCCAGAAAACATGCCGAATTCGGGGAGACAAGAGGCGTGAGGCAACTCGCATGTGTCAGGTCAGCATCCGCTAGTACTAAGAACTTGAGGCTGACACAATTGCATCATAAAAGCCAATCTTTCTCGTCCTGCAAAGGAAGGCGCCAGCAAATGTTAAGCACCTGGTTGGATCGGACGGGCTGCGCCCGAATAGGTTGGGAGGCCACTGACCAACGCATCTCATATTGACTCAAACGCACACTGTCAGATGTCTGAGAAATGTACTGAGGATCTAAGCACATGGCCAGGCTGTCAGACTCCATCCCCTGCACTAGGAAAAATTCCCAAGCATTTCTGCATCACAGCCTGCCCGTTCCGGACGTCGGAATTTGCCCAGGTTCCGATGCAAGGAGCCCTCTTATAATATGGAACTACAACCTTTGTTTCTTCAAGATCTGACGTGTGCGGCAAGAGCACCCTTGGCACAGACTGTTTCGCCTCAGCACTTTCCCCCTCCGATACGAAACACTTGTTTATTCAGCCTTGCAACAAGGGAGGCGTTTGAAAGATCAAGGAAGGCCAAAAGACCAGGGAACCAACGGTTTTCGGCGTCAGATCATCTAGCGGACCGATGTGAAGCTCTAGCAATTGTGACGACGTTGGAACCAGCGAAGAACTCAGAACGGTTGAATAACAAAGGCGCTGCTGCGAGACACAGGCAGAATAGAGGCTAGCACGGTATGACATGCAGGCGTAACGATGCAAAGAGCTTATCATCAAGCAACAATCCTATGAACCCTCTGAGTGGCGTCAGGTGCTCTACCACCGCTCTGCTGGCTTTATGGTAAGCCAGCTTATGTTGTCACGGCCTCAGCGCTTCGCACGAGCGCCGTACTTTGGATTACATACGAAGCCCACAGACCTTGTCCCAAAGCAGATCCCACTTCTTCACGAAGGGGCAGACGAACCATGTCGCCGCAATCAGCACAGCGTTTGGCCAATGCAAAAACGGCTTGTATCTTCACCCCCGACGCGAACAAAGGCGAGTGGAAAAAGCTGACAAAAGCTGCGCGAATACGAGACAGGCCTACTGGATTAAGAGCAGTCTGAAGGGACCAACAGGTTTGAAGCGGCTTCTGATACAGGCAATATGTCACAAAGATCCATGACAACTTGGCATCCTGGCCGTCTCGCACAGTCGAGTCGCAAAAGCAGGCGTCTAGAAACAATCTTAAAGTACTTAGGCGTACAAACGGCCACTAAGATGCACACATGGCACACAGGAAGTTTGAAATAAAACGACGATGTTTTTATCGCTCAATGGTGGACTGTACAGCAAACCGGACATCCGTTGGTAGAAGAGACGGCTGTCAACATCGGGCCAAATCTTCAGCCCAATTGTCAACATCGGGCCAGATTTTCAGCCCACTTCTACTCCTAAGGTAGAGCAGTCGATGAGGCGGATGATTCCTAAGAGACTGTTTTCAGTTCGGCGTGGACAAAGGCTGCACGAAAGACAAGCAAAGCATCTTTGACCCCAATCTCGCCAGCTGAAAGCAGAAAACACACCCACCGAGTAAGTAGCCATTGAGCTGAGACTCGCGAACCCCTTCAAGCGCGCCGAAAAGAACCGCACAAGCCGGCTTTAGAACCGACACCTTTTTTCCAACACAGTCGATCTAAAAACCTTCTGGCAAAGTCGAGGACGTCCTAACCGGCTGAGGGGTGCTAAGCTCTGGGCAGGACGGATCTAAAAGGAATGCCATTTCAGAACGGAGTGGCCTCAGACTTGCAAGCAATCATCCTTCGTTGTCGCACTGAGCGCAGTATGACAGCCACACCGCGAAGAGTTGCGACATCGCTAAAATGTGGACAGGAGAGCGCGCCGTTCTATCCACCACCTTGAAAGATCAAAAGCTGAGAGGGTTGAAATGGACCACTCTACGAAGAAACATTTCTTTCAGAGGGCTGCGTACGTTGACTAACTTGTTGGCCCAAGAACTGCAACGCATAGGCACCAGCTTCAGAAGGCACGTTCCATGAGGAGAAGACTCAAGTTAAGCTCGTCACGGCTGTAAACCTTTGCAGACCCCATCCAAGGCAAAGTCACGAAGTATAGCCTTTGAGTGCTTCAGACAAGAAGCTGGCCTTTCGGTGTCGTTCAAACTGGGGCAATAATGAGGGCGCAGAATATCCGACACGATTATGGGGTTGCGACTGAACTGGCAAGGCCGGAATTAGCGCAAAGGCAACCGATAAGCGTCGATCCGGAAGTTGGCTTCAGAAGTATCCCCAGTCAATCAACACGTGGCAGTACTGATACACGTGGCACTGTCATCGCCAAGCGCACAACTTCTTTCTGGAAGCGCCACCTACATTAAGTGCGTGTCAGGCAACGAAAAGACGGGGCGGTAGATGAACGGACAGGACAGCAGCCGACTGATTGAAAGTCTACTCGGTCGCGAATTCCGAGAAGCCCAAGCAAAGGTGCCAAAGACCAATTTATGACGCTTACACCGGGTTCTGAAATCAATGCAACCACTTCGACCAGGACTCAGACACAAGCTGATTGAAAGAATACCGTTTCGGTGATGTATAAAAGAGGCCCTAGGCCAACATGCGCATCAGGCAGGGTGGGAATACACCAAATACAGTTAGAGAAGCTCTCAGCAATCAGTGCTCGAGTCTGACGCAGATAGCACAGCGTAGCTTGATCTACAAAGGTTGGGCTGGTCTTCATACAACGTCCAGCTTCGCAAGTTTGCCCGGACGGCGGAGCCCGACAGCACTCAAGTTTGCGGTCAGTATGTGGTAAAGTCCTCTCTTTACCCACTGTATGCTCGTCAAGTATGTTTGAGGGAAAGTAGACGCGCACTGACCCTAGCAGATTCTGTTGCTTAACTGCAAGTTGACGGCGGAACACCTAGAACCCCGTCAACGTTCAGCAGAAGGTACCGAAGTTCAAGGGAAGACGATGGCAGCAGAATATCTTTGAAGAGGATCTAGCATCGGATCTGGTCGTCAGAGAATTGAGCACAGCGAGGGAACAGGGCGGTGTACCCGGAAGGAAAACCGGCCGTTTCTTTCACATGGTCATCATGGAGAAAGGATACACAACCTCGTCCGGACGTCTTCGGTCAACAGCAGCACACTTCGACCTAGCATCCATAGACGCCGGATCGATTATTTCAAGATCAACAGATATGTGCAACCAGCTTCTGAGAAGCCTGAGGCAACGCTGCAATGCCAGACAACATCATAGCCGGTTGAGTTTTTCAAGCGGAGCCGAGTAGCTGCGTGATCGAAAATGCACGTATGAATAAATGCAACTCCAGGCCAGAGGTAAGGAAAGAATGAGATGCAGGGACTGGTGGTCTGATACCAACCTGCAAACCATATGCTCTCCTGGAGGACAATGCTTTTCATTGGAAGATGCGATTGACTTGTTATAAGGACGGAAGCGTATCGAAACAGTAGTGCAAGAGGACGTCCGAAAGCAAATCCGCTTTCGGGGGGGGGATAATTGAAAGCCTCGTAGACATAAGGAAAGACATAACGAAGCACAAGTTGAAAGGAGAGCTTTCAGCATGCCAACGAGGAGGCTGGCTTCCGAAAACCTGAAAGAAAGCCGTTAAGTGACAAAAACTTTCGTCAACACAGCCATCCGAGCCAGCCCTATTGTTGGGCCTACTTCGTTGGGCTCAGGATTCTGCTTGATAAGAGGGGAAGGAAGTGAAGGACACCTGAACTTCAAGAACCTAGCCCTAACACATATTCAAGCTCGTGCATCGACGGTCGCTTGAGGAGGCAACACCTGAGCGAAGGATGCGTAAGCTTCGCTCGTTCGCAAAAAGGTGAACAGCAACTTGAAGCGGAGGAAGCGCGTCTATTAAGCAGTGGCAAGCAAACACCGCACCTTCGGACAACTCCTTTAAAATCTACGTCCGTTGTGTTCTTGTATTGACCAACTTGCGTGAACCCCAAGGCATGCGCCGAGCTCAGCATATTCCGGCTTCAGAGACAAGCAATGACTTCTTGAAGCAAAGCTTCAGCATGATCCATCACGGCCTGCGATGCAGATTTCTGGACAGGACTCAATCTAAGGGGAAGAACCGGAATGGACGGCCTCAAAGCGGGCGCAAAAGACCCCCATGCGACAGTGTCGCGCAGTGCTCCGCATCATGGCCAGACCGGCTCAAAGTCTTAACTTCGTCCACTGTGGAAAAAGTTGTGCACCTTTTAGAAAAACGAGTCAAAGGTCGAAAAGCTCGAAAACAAGACGCGATGTAACAAACACTCTGCTACAAGGCTCCATATCGAGTTACTTCCTGGCTAGGCAATCCGAGCGCGTTGGCAACAGCTTCTGAATGGTCGCAAGCTTGATGAGGCCGGAACCTCAAGGTTTTAGTTGGTCACGGCTGCAGTCCTTTGCAGACCCGATCCAAGGCAAAACGCCAGGGGATGTCACCTCCAAACATTGCTTTAAGCAACAAGCTTGGGGATGACCTCGACATACTGCAGAACGTGGGGAATTCGGAGGAACATAAGAAGCTTGAAAGTGCAAGTTGTGACCATGCTAAGGAGACATAGACGAACAGGGCGAGTGCAAAGGCCACTGGACGTGTCGACCAATCCTGGCTTCAGCATCAAGGATAATATCACTGGCACCTTGCAACAGAGCCAAGCGCAAGGACTAATGTACTAGCGGCGCCTACGTTGCATACATGTCGAGCATAACCCGCAGCAGGGCGCTTAGTTGACGGGCTGAACAGCTGAGCCAATTGTTTGAGCAACTGTCTGGTTGCAACCTGTTTGCAAGACTTCGCAGGACGTCATAGCCGGAGGTACAATCCTTTCGCTCAAACCTCGAGAAAACGAGTGAACCGTAAGAAGTGATTCGGTGGGTCTTTAAAGAGCTGCCATGGAACAGCATGCGCACCAAGAAGGGAGGGGAGGGGAGAGACTCGACCATCAAGTTTCAGATCTAGAAAACATGCGCAGGGTATCCTGGGCTGGTCTGTGCCAAGCAACCGCTTCGCACAAATGGCGTAACCAGCTCTCAGTCGGGCATCGGGTCGGGTCGTCAAATTTGAGCACGTGTGCTCGTTCTGAGTGAGAAAAATTTCACGAGCATCATCAGGACGTAAATCATTCGTTGTCGACCCAACGAGATAACGGCAGATTATCACAGTCCCGTCTGCTTTTCAGCAGTGCATACCCGAAGTTTGAGGAAAGATGACGGAGTAGGAAGGAGTGGAAGACTTTCAGGACACTTTCAGCATCGAGTCTTGCCAACAGTGACTCACACGAAAGCAACCGCAGCGAAAATATTAGGGCGGGGTGACCAGAAAAGAGCAAGAGTCCGGGCAACGCCGGTGTTTTTAGCAACTAGGGATGGAGAACGAACACAGTCATCCAAACGGACGGCTTCGAAAAACAACGGTAGAAAGTAACTCAGCAACCAGAGAGCCGTCTTGCAATCGATCGACATTTCAATCGGAGGTTGGTAGATGCAGAAATCCGGCTTCTGATCTGGTTTTCGATGAGTCTTGAAGCGATGCCACAGTTCTCTTAACGTCATAGCCAGGGTTTTCCAAGCGTGTCAGGTAGCTATGTTATCGGAAATAACACACCCATGAACACTTATTAAATCGATGCCTTTCTGCTGTTGACGCGCTTGTCCACTGGCAAACGGAGGTGCCAGAAGTGTCTCTGCTGGAACACGATCCTCTCGTTTCAAGAGTGGCATGAGATATAACAAGCAGAGGAAGCAAGCTGGAAAACGAAGACAAGAGGACGTCCAGGAAGCGACATGGTATGTCCTTCTGCACGCAATATACTTAAAAGGTCTTGGCGACAAGAGGAAGCTAACATGGAAAGAGCAAAGCAAAGTGAAAACGAACCACTCTTGGGCTCCTGGCTTCTGGGACCCAAGGTACATCTATGAGTGCGTGACCTCGTTAACAAAGCCATTCTAGCCAGGCTTTTTTTCAGGATGTACTTCGTTGCTACGTTTGCGTTTTATGTAAAAACCAGAAACAGGAGATTGACTTAGACCTTAAGCACAACAATAAAATAGATCTCAAACCCGCAATCGCTTCAGGAACTTCAGTCCGAACGGGGGTGCATCGAAATCATCCGTTGCGTGGACCGAGGAGACAACCCATCAGTTTGAGGCGGAGAGGACGCAACATCCCGGTTGATGTCAACCAAATGTATGTATTCAAACTGCCTTTAGGATTTCAAACCTTCAATACCCGCTGGAAAGCAGGCGTGCTTTGAACCGTAAGGCATGAGTGGACTCAAAAGTACCTACTCCGGCTTCTGCAGAGGACTTCTCTCACACTGAAACAGAGCATCAGCATGATCCATCACGGCCGACCGGCGCTCCAGCCAGACACTTGACTCCTAAACTGAAGATACCTACTTAAAGAGTCTCCTATCGAGGAAGCCAGGCAATAGTCGCAAATCTAAGAGCGTGATCAACTCAAGGTAGCACCAACATAGTCGATCAAGCGACAAGCCTCAACCGATTCAATTAGAGAACGCCGGAGGAGAGACTCAACCAAATCCGTGTCTGCATATCTATCTCTGCAAGTGTTCGAAGCAGGACATATAAAAGACCTCAGCGCACGCTCTCCACCTTTCAGCAGCCTCAACAAGCTTGACATCAGGAGCGGCATTCATTGCTGGCGGCCCGGAAACAGCACCGCTCTAGTTTCCATCACGGCCACCAGAACAATATAAGGTGACGCTTCAATATAAGTAATAAGCAACACTGGCAGGGTATATATCAAGGCTGGGTGACTCCCGGAAGGAAAGGCATCTACTCAAAGTGCTTCGCAGAACGTGTGCATACTGATGGATTGAAGTCTGGCTGCATACAAGATTTCAGGTCACGTCAGGAGTTGTATTTTTCGGGCCCATGTCACAACGAAAACAAACTGATCATGTCAGAACGAAAAAGCTTTGGCTTCAGCTGTGCAAACATCATCTGTGGCACTTCGTGCACATGCGGGGGCCCATGCATCAAAAGCAAGCTGCCCAACATTACATATACTCAACAAAACCCCGAACAAGTCCAAGCGACAAGGCAAAGGTCATTTAGGATTTCCACCCTCTAGAGTGGCTCCTAGCAGCTTTTAGAAGGAAAAGCTTGAAGGCAAATAAAGATTAGGGAAAACACAATCCAAGCCGCACGAGATAAGACACTGGATCAGGATAGCAATTTTCGTTTACTTAAAAAGTGTCGGCTGGCTCCGCTTTCTCCCATGAAAACGTCCTGCGAAAGACCACGCAGGGAGTAGACCGTCGTTGCCTTTGTTTTTGATAGCTTTTCATAACCAGACCGACATCTTTGGAACATAGAAAAGTCAATAGAAACAAAGAGGCGCATTGCTTACAATATTGCATGGCAACCTTGATTACAGAGCGATGACTGACTTGTTCGTTACCGAAGTAACCAAGACAAAGGCTCGACGAGTTTCGCGATCTCGTCATGTAATGGCTCTCCCGCCTTATTCCACTTGACCCCAGCCAAAAAATGGGAAGATTTGACAAACGCGCTAAACCACGAACAACGATTCTAAGCAGACGAAGAACGATTGCTTTTGCAAAGCAACGACGCTGTGCCACCAAAAGCGCCTAGTTTTCAAGAGCACCTGGGCATAAAGAATGGCCGGCTTCTGCTATGAAGATGCCAATCATCGATTGAAGCAGGGCCTCTGCGAGGGTCCCATCACAGCCAGCCTTTACATGCAGTCCCCAACCGGCAGCTTGATCTTTCAGTAGATCCCTTCGCTCTTGCATCAGTTTGGAAATATGCAGGAGTTGTTCAAGGTGTTTGGCTGCCCAGGGGACACGTGGAGCAGACTGAGCGCAGAAAGCGCTGATATGAAACTTGAAGTTGGGACTCGGCCATAAGTCGAAACCCGACCATAAGCTGAGAGTCGATCACAAGCTGAAACACAAAGATGAGCTGCGACCTTAAGACATAAGCTGCCATCCGGGCCAAAGTACTGGCATCTTGTCACTGCTTCTTGAAGCAGGCCTTCAGTGTCGTATATCACTGCCGAGACTGATACAACATAAGATTGCGCCAAGGCATGGACAAACCTGGTTTCCGACTGGCCTTTGCAACGTAATCTGTAAGTCTCGAAGCTGTTGACGTTTCAGCCAATGAGATGTAATCAGGCAGCGACCCCTTGGACCTCAAAACTTTAGGTGCAAAACAAGGGCATTCAATAAATTTGGCCCCGCAAGGCAGCCAATTTGGCGAAGAACTTCGAACTGCAGAGCTGGTCGATCACAGCTCTTGCGCAGCAACAGAGGTCAGCATGACTCTCAGGTAAGCGAGAGCAAGTCGATTAAGGTGGCACGGTAAGCAAGCAAGGTAAGCAGGAGCAAGTGCAAACGGCAGACGCTCTCTGACTAAGGCTGCACGTTATTTTTCAAAAGGCGCTATTTGGGGTCACAAGGACCTTGCTTTACTCGTGCCAGTATACCCGTACTGCCCAAGAGACTGGAGGGCCTCAGAGAAAGGAAACCGCAAAATCTTGTGCGGAATCGCACGGTACCTCTCGTCATCGCCAACTGGTTTCCCCAAAACTTCCAACAAATTCGTGATGGACTGGCACTTGCGTCCGCCCCTTACGCGGAAAGGGGCGCACTCGAGACAGAGGAGGTCAACCCCATTACCTGAAGTCGATCAACACAACTATAGGACTCCAAGAAGTGCAGCAGCCCCAATCGTGAACAGGAGCAAACGCAAGATCTTGCTTTTCTGTGGCTTAGTCTACCAGCTTACGTTGATTGCCTAATGAGAGAGTCCATATCGGCAGCGTCGGTAATAGTTGCATGCCTTAAGATGAGGCAGTGCACCGCATGCTTCACAGCCGCTCCCGTCGAAACAGGCGAAAGCAGTATCGACAATGTAAATGCAAGGCAAGCCCTCCTCATTTTTCAATGTTTCTGGGCCCCGTCCAAAGGTTATGGCAATGTTGCAAGCGAGGATTTAAAGATGTGGGCTTCTTTCTGGTCGAAGTTCACAGATGAAGCACGAATGCATGTCAAGCGCTGGTTTCTGTTCACCAACCGACGCATGACCTCTAAGGCCACTTGTCTTCACAGCCAGCCCGTTCCAGATGCAATAAGCGAACGAGATGCGAGTGGGACCAGCGGCAAAAATCTGTCAAGCAGCACTTTGGCTCCACTCAAGGAATGGTCACGAGCTCTCAGCAATGTATTGCCTAATCAGAATCAGACGGATCCTGTCTTCCTTCCCGCTGGAACAAGCCAGTCGCCAGCAGAAGCAGCTACGTCGGTTATAGGACTGGGGCGCAATCTCGTCTCAGCGACACACGCAGTGGCCTCAGCGTAAAGGGACTTCTCGTGCCATATTTGGCAGCGGGTACACGTCACAGCCGCTCTTACATTTGCTCCGGAGCTCAGTAATCAAGGGGAATGAATTGATGGAAAAGGCGTTGGCTTTTCATCCTTTTGGGCAGGTTCGTGATGACAGGTCACAGACGGCATACCAGGCGACAGAGTAACTTTGCCCACCTGACAGCTGATCCGGCTGAACCTCCCATCCATGCGCTCTGCTCCCACCAAAACTATACAGTAGTCGCATCTTTTTGCAAAACATGTCGAATGAGGAGAACAGGCGCTGAAAAAATAGGGGCCTTACCTTGGGCAGGCTGAACTTTGGTTGGTACTCCCACACCGACCCGTCCTCGGCCGTCGCGAACAGCACGGGGTCGACCTTATCAACGTCTGCCACGTGGAGGGAAACGGTTGGCGGGGCGCCCCCTTGGGCCATTAGCGCCTGGTACGGAACGACGAGAGGCCCCCGCCCGCGCACCGAAAGGCCGAGACCGGGGGGGCCGCTGTGCAGGAGCCACATCCAGGCGTTGCGTGACCGGCGTCGTTCAGCTAACCTGGATAGATAACCAAAATAGTTCAGCATGGTTTATGTTATGAGATAGGGCTTGGAAGGTAACTGGTTGAACGGGTTCCAAAGCCGAGGGGGGGCGCTGTGCAGGAGCCACATCCAGGCGTTGCGCGAGCGGGGTCGTCAGCTAACCTGGATAGATAAACGAGACTTTCAGCATGGTAAACAGAACACAGAAGGTATAGCAATGGATTTAGATACGGCAAAGAAGCAGTGTTTGTAGGGTAAAACTGAGGTCCAACGAAAGATTAAATGTCTGGACCGCTCTGCAGGAGCCACGTATAGGCGTTGCATGAGCAGCATCGTTCAGTTAACCTGGAGCGAGGGTTTGAGTGTAGTTCATGTAACGAGATATAGATCGGAGGGTACTGGTTGTTTGAGTTCTGAGGCTGGGATCACCACCGTGGAGGAGCCATATACAGGCGTTGCGTGAGCGCCGCCGCTCTGCTAACCTACGGAACAGGATCAAAGTTGCTTCGCTCTGTAAGAACTGATTGTAAGACTGGTGCGCCTGATTTCGGACGATTTTCATTTCGGACGGGCAAACACAAAATCTGATTTCGGCCTCAGTTAACCCTGTCTGCGGCTGCTCGTGCGCGTTAGTTCTCGATGTCGCGTTTCAAAGTACTATTAGGAGACGAGCCGCGCGCGACAGCGTTACACACGCGCGTGTGCAGCCGCAGACTGTATCAGATAGTCCGAAATTGAAACTCGGGTTTGCCCGTCCGGAATCAAAATCGTCCGAAACTAGGCGCACCAGTCTTATTGGGCCTGGTGTGGAGGGGCCACATGCAGGCACTGCGCAACCTGCGCCGTTCATTTAACCTGCGGGTAATCAATGCTTCCTGCGTGATCTACATGATGAAATGGCGCATTAGATGTGATGTGTCCGTTGGATGCGCTATGTCGGGTCGACAGCGTTGGTAAGGAATCAGAGGCAAGAGAAGAGATGGGTCCCGCGCTGCTCGAAGGAGCCATATCCAGGCGTTTCAAGATAGCAACAGACCACAGGATTCGTGGTAAGTACCTCTAGAGGCTTGCCACCCGAGATCCAGAGGAAAACGAGGCTTGGCAGTATTGGGTACCAGTCTGTGAAGTTAATATCAGTTCGGCCGTCGTTTCCTGCAAACTTGGAGAAAAGATCCAGAGGGTGTCTTGCTGGCTAGAGATTTTGACGCCGTCCGTCACCAAAGGGTTTTCTGCTACACTCACGAGAGGCTCTAAGTTCAACCCAAGACAAGCAGGATCGACAGAAAGTCCTCAACAGACATCGACCAAAGCCCCTGTTCTCATCTGGCAGATGAAAGCTCTCCGAGTTCATCCTTCACCAATTCAATTCTTCTGGTGAAAAGTCAAAGCTTTGAGTCGCTCGCAGGTAATGGGAACCGCACCTGCCATCCGCAGTTGGCAGAAAGACCGACACTCCATGCGCGCCGCGCATGACCAACCCACTTCCCGGCAGCAACGGCACGTCCTCCAACTCGCTCCCCGCCCGCGAGTGCTTCCTCCACACATGCGCCGGCCTCAACTCCAACTCGTACAAATCCCCCGCAGAACTGACGACCAGAACGAAGTTCGGACGCATCAGGCAAGCGTCCGCGATCGCCGCCACGTCAGCATCTCGTGGTGCCCCGTGGTACCCCCAGACCGCGCTCGGCCAGAGGTTTGACAGCTCGGCAAGACGGCCATCCCGCGTCGTGAAGAAGACGGTGCCCCCCTCACCCGTTGGCATCCCGGGGCCGCGCACCAGGTGCCCATCGTCCCGCTCTAGATGTCCCGGCTTCTTCGACGAGGTTTGGTCCCGCTCTAGTTGGCCCCCAGACGGCTTTCTGGATCCATTTTCGTCCCGCTCTAGTTGGGCCCCTGTCGACTTCTTCGAACCAGCTTCCTCGCGCTCTAGTTGGCCCCCCGCTGGCTTTTTCTCGCCCCGTTCTAGTTGGCCCCCGGCTGACTTCGTCGACTCGCCCCGGTCACCCTGCGCTTTCTTTGGCCCGCAGAAACGCCACACAAGCGCCTGCTTCGAGTTCTGGTACATGTGATACACATGCCCGTTTTCTGACGTGGCAATGACGGTGCGGTTTACGGCGGCAAGTGCAGACGCTTTGCCCGACCCCGAGGGGAGGTCGTGCGGGATGAAGACCCACTGTGCGCCGTTCCAGAAGCGCTCGTAGACGCTCCCGCTGGGGCCCGCCACCCAAAGGGACGCGTCGGAGAAGCGGGCGAGGCTGCCAAAGCTGTTGCTGGGGTCCTGTAGTGGGGGAAGAATAGCGGTAGATCAGTCGGGGTAAAAGGACAACCAAGTGGTGAATGCCAAGATGGAACTTTTTGTGGCGAATTATGAGTTGGGGGGAAACAATAAGCGAGTTGAAGAAGAGATTGTCGGGTAGATCACTTGGAACTCTTGTTGAAGGAGCATTGCAAGCACGCTGCCTGGACTCTGGCAGCATTTCTGTCGGGCCCCGTCAGTAACGGGACAATATTTCAGAAACTGAAGAGACAGTCTCTGAATGCTCAGAGTAGCAAGTGCTCAAAGTTGAAGTAAACAATCAGCAATGCTAAACGCCTTGGCTGCAAGGAGGTGTAGAAATGTCAACGGTTGGAAAGATGCTACAAATCTTCTTTTCATACCTCTCTTAACGGCCAAAGTCTTACAAGGTGTCATTCAAAATATAAAGCCCATAGAAAATAACTAGATGAGAAGAAAGCTGCAGCTCTTTGAGGGACACAGAAACGCCTTCTTATTCAAAAACTCCAACGAAGTGCGAGCTGAAGCTCAACAGTTTTGCTAGTGATTGACACGAGAAATGCAGTCAATTGATGAGCGCATATACTAAAGGAACTGTGGCATGCACTGGAACGCGATCTACAAACATCCATGCTCAAACCACCCACGTTGGGTTCAAGCTGGGAAGCTCATGCACGATGGTTGGGCAGCCAGCACGAAGCTTGTCCAAAAGATGCACCTTAGGCAATAGGAGTTCAACACAGCTGCACCAAAGCTTAGTCTACCCCTCCAAAGGAGCGACTTTTCGGCTGACTCCTTGAATGTCATATGTCTGACGTCAACTTGTCTATTTACACCACCTTTCCTGGACAAATAAGTCCATCACGCAGGCGTTCGAGACTTCGAACCTGAACGTTGCTGACTAAAGCTCGACTTAGAAGTTGACTTACATGAGCATGGGAGACCAGCCGCGGCGCCTCAGTTAGAGACGTCTTCTTCCCTTTTACCACCTCCCGCTTTTTGAAAGCCCCTTGCTGTTCTTGCTCGTGCAGAATGCTCCTAAGGTCAGCCACGGGCAACCACGAGCTGTTGATCCTACTGTAGACCCAGATCTTAGCATCCGGGGGCGCTTTTTCTACACCGTTGACAGCCCCCCAAGTCCTGAAAGTGCGGCCTTGGTACCGGAACTGGGAATTCTCCAATGAGAAGGAGCAGACCAGAAGGCTGGGAGGGGCGACGAGCAGCAGGAAGAGAAGGGCAGAGAGGAAGGTGTGCGGGAGAGAAGGGCGCTCCAAACAAACAGGCGCCATTTCGCCACACCGTGACCAAACCAGACAAACCGTATGGTTTGGACAAAAGTTTTTCGTACTACCGATTTTTTGAATTTCCAACTTTTACTGGCCGCCCTTCAAGCCGTTCCAGGAAACGTCTTAGTGTAGACAATTTTCGCCGCAGAGGCAGGGGTAAAAACATGGACGTAAGCGGGGACGTAAGTCACTGACATCAAAACCGGCATGCCGCGACGTGATCGATTCAAATTCGAAAATTCGGACAAATCATGCTAGCCCATGCCAAGATCTGCATGATCTGCAGGCAAAATTCCTGTCTCTGTCCCATACAAATGCAGGCGCCCGCAATGGCGGCTTCTTCTTCCTTTGCTGTCCAGGGCCGTGCTTGCCACAGATGCACTGCAAACAGTTGCGTGCGTGAGCAGAGATCTGGTGGAAGTCAAGCAAGTGGTCCTCAAAGACTCCAAGCAAGGATCGCAAGCTCAGCGGTCGAGCATTTGAGATGTATGAGGAAGGGAGGCAATCTGGTCATGCGACCTGAGAATGGCAGGCTGCTCTGGTTTCCAATCAGCAAGGAGACTCCAGCGGTCAGCTTAAGAAGGAAGGGCAGCCAGCGAGTTGAGGCCAGCTCAAGCAATGCTGACAATGTAAGCTTCCGACGCATGTCTGAAGCCCTTTCACTGACTGTCCTGAACTTTCTGCCAGCTTGACTGTGAGCTGTTCCCTTTGGACTCTGGAGCCTTTATAGCCCATGCACAGAGCTGTTGTCAATTCAGCAGACAAGGGCTAGCAGAAGCTGAAGCCCATCAAATGTGGGGATTGCTCCCTTACGTCTTCAACCTGGTCAGTGCATTTTGTCACCCCTGTTCGCATGCAGATTTCTATCGTGTGAAGGCTTACTTTTCTGTGGTCTTTTTCCTTGATTTAAATTTCAACAGCGCTTTTGAAAGACGCTGATTTTGGCGCTCGGTGCTGATTGCCAACAGTGTGATGATCTTTTTTTCCATTGCTGGAAAGTATCTGACAGAATGCTCCATTCTTCGTGGGGCACGTTTCTCCTGGAGCAGAAACCTCATCTTCATGACAGGGGCACATGTCATCCGAATGGACCCAGGGAAGTGGCCCCTCAAATTATAGAGCTGACGTTGCAATTTGGGGTGAGCTCGATTTGCGACCTGCCCCGGCCTTTCCTGGATACAGGCTCAGCCAGGCAAGACCTTGCAGGAACGGCCCTTCCCGCTTTCGTTTCTGTTTCTACCCTCCATTTAAGAAAAGGAACACAACTATCTGACCTGATCCCAAGGTCAAAGTGGCGGAACATGTCACAAGTAGCATCACGGCCCAGTTGGCAACATCGAAGATACTAGAGCTGATCTTAACATGTCTCTCGCAGGCTTGCCCAGGAAGCCCGTGCAAGAGCCCCTCCCACACCAGACTCCAACTCTGAAGAAACCAAAAACTTCAATATCTCTTTGCGTCACTTGCAACGTCAGCCCGCCTAGCCACACTACAGACTACAGTACCTATACCCGATGTGTTTCTAACTTCAATTGCAGGCGCAGTCAGCCAAGTCCGTGCAAGAATGGCCACTTCCGACCACATCCGACCTCAGCGTAGAGCAAGCACGGGGCGCCTGCCAGCGAGCAATCGCCGATGGGAAGACGCGGTTGCAGATTGAATTGTTGCTGCCGCTGATTGGAGCTACGGACCTGGACGACTGGCCGGTACGCCGGCCTGTCACTTCCACATTTTCGATGCGAAGTCATGTGCAAGTCTGCTGGACATAGCTGCGGCTCATTGAGATTCAGATGAATTGCGATCCGTTTTAGCAGCTTACTGGCTCGCAGATCGTTTGAGACTTTAAAAGTGTTGCGATTGATGCGAAGGACCTCATCTCTTAGTTCAAGAGCACGACCAACTTCGACCGTCTCTACCCTGAAGGAGATGCATGATAAGTTTGAGTTGAATTCGACGGTGTATCTTTGAAGGTCAATCGTGAATAGGGAAACGCATGATCACGAACCACTTATATAATCCGACTTTCATTCTTCATCGTTGGGAGTCGATTCGACTACCACCGGCTATCGTCCAGGTCTTACCGAGTAAGCTTAACACTTTCATTGGTAGTGCAAAAGCTTTGCTGATTTGTTCTATGCGGCCAGCGTTGGCTGTAGACTGGTGATAGCCGCACACTCTCTACCCGCTCTACGAAGTGTCTCGGCCTTTTCTACGAAGACGCGCCGGAACGACTCCCTTTCTAAATGACTTCTCTATAACCGGCTTGCCACAGCTCAAGGCCACACTCCCTCTCTTGAACTCTCTTCAAAATCAGAGGTTGCCTCCGCAGGAAATCAAAAGGGGGTCTGCTGACTGAAATCTGCATGCTCTCGTACATTGAGATTTTCCTCTCAATCTGCAGGGCGGCATCAAGCAACAGTTCAAGGCCGCTGTTCCCCTCGTCTACTCTCTTCTACGGGGCCTCGTCGGCACTTCTTCCGCAGAAGCGAGCAAGAAGACTTTGCTAGACGAAGCGGATGCGGTCGGAGTCTGGGAAAGCGACAGCGTGGCTCTCGTGTTGTTTCCGAACGCTGAGACGGTTCCGGATCTAGAGCGGCTCGCGGCAGTGGAGGGGCGACCGTTGTTGATAATGAATCCGCAATGGCAAGCGGGCCAGGTGAGGTCTGTTTTGCCTGCATCTGCAAAAAATCTGGACTCTCTCCATGCACCCGTTTTGGAGGAGGGATTTTTGGACCTTATAAGAAGAGTCGGACTGAAAGAGCCCTGGTGATGCTTTCCGTAAGTAGCAAAAACAAAGTCGGTCTTGGACTAAGAGGATATTGTGGCGAGTTTCGAGACGATAGTGCAGGTTGTTTCTTTGTCGGACACCGAAGCGACAGCCTGAACTAGTGCATTCCGTGCGCTCATTGCTCGATCCTGACGGAGTTTCTAGACTTCAGAGGGTGTCCGTCAATCTCGCCTGTTGGTTACTTTTGAGAAGACGGCAGCATGCAATTGGCGCGGTGATAGGCAGATCCGGGGATGCTTGCTCCCTTTTTGCTCGGCATGTTCGGATGAAGCAACAAACATATCTGCACGCTTTCTATGCTTTATGCATTTTCTTTCATCGAGGTTTCGCGGCTTGAAAAAATGTCTCCGCCTTTTTTCTAAGCGGAGGGTATTTGTTGTATCTTGGCTGATTACCCGTCTTTTAAAAGCATCCCAATATCCCAACAGAGTAAAACCGAGCGGGCCTTCGCTCGCCTATCTTTCCCTTCCTGCTCGATACCGGGAGAGTTTTAACACTGGCGAGTTGTCAGATCACAAGTCCAACCGATTCGTACGCTTATGCCGAGAGCTTGTTCCAGCCTCGTAGAGTCGGGTAAAACTTTCTCCATCAAAACCCTTTGCACATTCCCCGTGTTTCTAGCCGCTGTATTTGGCAGCCTCCGTGGACAAATTGCCATGATTTGGCCGCACAAAGTACGAACACAGTGATCTCATCATTCTTAGAGATCAGAGCTGCTTGATTATCCAGAGTTCTGAGATCGCTCTCTTGCTTGCGCGCAGGTGATTTCCGACTTTGGATTTGGCGCGCGAAAACAGGCTTCAGAGGACTTTTTAGCGACTTTTGAGCCGGCTTACCAGCTACAACAGAAGAGGATCCAAGGGGAGGACGTGCGGATACTGCGGTGCTATCCTGGACCCTATCAGGTGCGTACCTGATCGTGAATCGCATCTGTTTGAGTGGAGGACGGAGCTTGAGTCAAAAGTCTTTTGACAGTCATTGCAAACACCCGCAAAGCCACGCCTAAACACGCGTAGATGCGGAAATATTGACAAGGGATGATGTGTTCGCACAAGTTGTCCGTCTTGACAGTAGTCGCCAACTCGTTGAGAGTGGAGCATTCTGCATCGAAGTTACATGGAAATGATGTATTGCTCGTTTGGACGATTCCAGATGCGCAACTTGCTGATACACCTTGTTCGGTGCTGCATAATAACTTTGACGGAATTCGTGGTGAAAGCCTTTGATAACATTCTTTCTGTTGTCAAGTCTAACCTCAGCGTTTTACGCAGGTGTACCTTATTGATGACCGAGGTAAGAGTGACGTCGTGACCAGCTCGGAGACCTTGCCGACTTACAAAGAAATTGACGCGTTGTTGAGAGGTAGGGTTGGTTCTAGAGCGAGCAAAAGCTGGCTTGAAAAGCTGATGGGAGAGACGAAGTTCAATCTAGAAAACAAGTTTTGACGAGCCTATTTTGGATGCAGCCCACGGAGAATGTATCCGACAAGTCAGTCGAGGTCTTTTCTGCCTGCTTTTGAACATTCGTACATTTTTCATAGAAGTGACATATAACTGAGTTGCTTGCGAACCGAAGTCCAATTGGACTTCTCATCGATGGGCCGGTCCGACATAACGTGTGTTCTTCTCTTGAGACGGCCGTCCAGTGTGCGACAGTTTGTTAGGACATGGCTGCTCCAGTTGCAATGCAATCTTGAACTGATTCCGGCGTGCACGCAATTAGTACGGCAATGCAGCAAGCAATCATCGCCGTGATCAGCATTGCCGCGTCTTAGATGATCCGAGGGCCGGTCCGATCGGGACTAGTATGGTGCGTGCGCTGCATGATGCCCGTAAGTGCTCACAGATCCGGGTCTCATGAGGGGGTCACGCATGAGCGTGATTGAGTCGCGATTGTCAACGTCCATGACGGTGTACCCTACATGAATGTAGCTAGGCAGCATGGCCGCCCATGTGCATAAATGGCGCATAAATGATCGACGCTTTGGTACATCAAGTTTGCCGCTTGCATGCCTGACAATCAAGTCATGCTGTTATCTAGTCGTGCCGGCGGCCAGACCCGGTTTGTATTTCTCCGCGCACCTTCAGGAAAGTTGACTCGTTGCATGACAACTCCAAGTTGGAACAAACTTGAACGCTCCATGAATACTTATCAAACCACAACTCGTTTGGGTCCTCTAAGGCACTCTTATCGATATCTCCCTTACAGTGCCTTCCTTATAATGTTTGCACTTGCAAAACTAACCTCCTCAAATAAATGTACATTGGCCAAGGCCAGTTTTGCAGTGCCTGCAGTCACCTCAGGCTTTCGGTTTTACCGTGGTGGCTACAAAAATGGATTGTACTGGTTGGGAACTGCATCTTGAACTCCAAAATTGATGTTCAAGATTCTCGAGTTTCTCAAGGATTGAGATGGTACTGTCATTGACTGCCAATCGATGTGGACTTGGGTTTGACTAAATGTTGTCTTTTGCTTCAAGCAATTTCTTTAAGTTTGCAAGGCCACTTTCAAAGTCTGCTCCAATCAGGCGATCCATGTCCAAGAACAACCCAGCGGCCTTGCCGATGAAATCCTGTGCACTTTCCATTGACCAGCTGCAGCTTGTCTTCCCCTCGCTTGGTGCATCAAGGGTAAATGTGACGTTGCTTTTGGTCTTCATCGGTCTGAACATGTCGAGTAGTATCCGGACAACCTTGTCATCTTCCACATTCTGGATTTCCATGCGCCCAGCGCCAACCTCACTATTCCCCGCCCATTCATAGATGGCACCTTCTCCTTTTTGTGCACCAGAGAATGTCTTGTTCATTTCAGGATCCTTGCCCTCCCAAGGTGACCAAAGCCCCCACCTTTCTAAATCAGCAATGTGATCAAGGACGTGTGCTTTGGGCGCAGCAATCTCTGTTCCACGCTCCACATGCAAAGTAGTTGGTCGGGACGAAATCACATTGACCAGGATGGCCAAAGCTGCCCCAACGGCAGCAACTATGAGCAGAATAGACCTCATTGTGCGCGGAGGTTTTACTTTAAAGACCGCTTACCGCACAGTATACCTTGGATGCTTGTGAAGAGCTTGTCGCTTAAGCTCTGCACAATTGAGAATCGTGCATCAGGCGGTCTGCTTTGAGGAGTCATAAACCATTGGACTCACACAAGACCGCTGGGATGGAAGATGCTACTTGGTGGCTACTTGGGATGATTAAGTGGGAGCAAACCCAAACTCGAAATGCTTCACAACCACAGATTTGTTGGTTGTGACGCAGATTGTAGTCGAGCTGCCCTGTGCCTGAGCTCTTCTAACCTAGCTACTGCCTAACGTCGGTCTCTTCTCAATGCTGTCAAATGTTGGAGGCCAAAAATAAGCAAAGGAACGTCGCATGGCCGGCCCCATGAATGTCCTTGCATTCCGGCTGAACTGGAAGATTTAGAGCTGAGTCAGCAAATGTCGGACATAAGAGATTCAGCAAACTACAGTATCCTGGCAACTTTGAATGTTTTGATTGCTTGCGCTGCTTGGCTGATTGGACATCGAAGTAGCCAATGCGTAAGCGCTCTTGCACTTCGTCGAGCAAGGCCCATGGTCAAGGTTCTGGACTTTGACGCTCACCACGAGTCCCAGCTCTCAGAACTTGAAGCTAGCGCCCGTCTCCTCTTCCCGCTAAAGACGTCTCCCACCTTGTGCCACTGTCAGCTCTAGAGCTCTGACAGTGAAGGCGCAGCTATAGTAGCCTGGTCGCGCTGGGGCGCCAACCTGACGTCGACGAGCATTCAACCTCAACATGCTGGTACTAGTGGTACGGCCAGGCCACGTACTGATCAACGTCGGAAAGCTGCCCTCTTTTGCCATTGCCATTGGACGGTTGAAAGTTCCCCCTTACGTTTCGATTTGTAGGCTTGACCGTCGATTTGCCTCCGAAACTACGGGACCTCGCATAATACCTATTCAATATAATACCTATTGACATCAGCTAGGCTCTTTCTGCTCAGCTCGCTTGGCTCCAAAGCGAGCTGAGCTTAGGTGATCACAGCAACTCTTTTCTCGGCAAGGGCAGGGGCAAGGGTGCTGCACCGCAGTGCTGGACTCAGAGGCAATTGGAGGGTCCCTCTAGTTGAAGGAGGTGTTGGCACAAGAAAAACCAAGTTCGCTTTTGAAATTTGAGGCCAGTTTGCTGCATTTGGGTGCGTGTTTGTTTCGACGGCAAAACGCTGGATCAGGGACAACAAAGTGCAGAACGTTCGTGTGATAGAAAATAAGCAAAAGGCCCGCACTCAGCTCAGAGATCTTGGTCGCAGACGGATGCGCATGAAGCTCTTCTGCAAGTCGTAGCCACCATTAGGTGCCCCATGTCATGCACAATAGATCCAAACCATTTTTTTCTACTACACTCTCTCCTTGAGCTTTACAGCTACTGTAGTAAGCAGTCGTTCCAAGTAGGATATACACGAGCACATTTGTGATGTAGCTGCCACTATTAAGCAGCTGAGATCTCTAAGAAGTAGCTCGTATTGGAAGCGTCATACATTCGTCATGGACAAAGCGCCCTCAGCAAGCTGGCTGGATGCGCAGATCTCGCTGCCCTTGCAGCTGCCGAGGGACATCCAGCTAGAGTATCATTCTCCCTCCAATTGGTGAGCATTCTCCCTCATAATAAAACGTTTTGCTGCCAAAAGGTGTAATGCCACTCTGATTCTGAATAAGGCAGGCTGCTTGACCTAAAACGTTGTGTTGGCCTGTTTGAGGTTCCGTCGACCTGACTCAGAGGACAGACTCCCACTTTTGGGGCGGTTTGGAGCTTTTCATTATCATGAAAGTCATGGCACCTTTTGTGCACCATACAAAGCACCTGCACTGACGAGATAGACAGAAACAAACGGCCGCTTGATGCAAATTGACTGCCGCAACTTTAGCTCATTTGTTTGTTGCAAAGTGCAATTGCCTCTTGACTGCTTTGGTGGTTATCTTTACAGGAAGAAAGTTCACTCCCATCGCCACATTCAGGCTGCCCCGGTCAGCTTCGCATATGGAGAAGGCCCTCTGCAAGAAGAGGATGCAAATGTAAGCATTGAGCTTGGAGTCTGCCAAGACAGCAGTTTCCTTGTTCTGCATAGACGGACACGTTTGTCGCACCGCTTTCCTTTCGGTGCCTTACAGGCTGGCTAACCAGGGCGGAACTTTTGATTCACTCAGCTCCGGCCCACTTGTGGTAGTGTTCTGCTCACTAAGAGTAAACAACCTGATGCTTGTTCTGGTTTGAAGATACTGTCGCAAGCTAAGCATGGTGTGCGATTCATGAAGTCAGTGCACGTATTGACAAGCAATTCCAATACTGTCATTATAGAAGTTGTTAGATTGGCCTTATCAATTCTCTGACTGGTTACCTGGAGGTGACAAACAGAAACACTCCTGGTTGATACATCTTGCGTATCTTCTTGTTCTCAATGTACCTCGATTTTCGTTGGCCAACTGGTATTCACACACAGCTGGTAAAACATGTGACAAAAGGGTAGGCCATGCGATTTTCGAAAACCAAGCTTTTTAAGTCCATTTTTGATGCACTATGGCTGGTTGACAAAGTAAATCGCATCTGCTTTCAGGTCCTGGCTCACAAGGAAAGGGAAGTCGTTGCATCCCGCAAAGCAACCAAGGCTGCGCACAAGCAAGCAGCAGAGGAGAGCCTGCGAGTCCGCCTGGCTCGGCTAGCCAAAGAACGGCACGCAGCTATGCAGAAAGAAGCGCCGGTTCTATCAGCAGCAGGAATAGTTGTCAATCCTGTCAAACCCCAAGCACGAGCAGAACATCCAAAAGCAGAGACCAAGCCAGGACAACTAGATCGAACTCATTCTGTGGAGAGAGACGACAAAGCGAGCGGCCAAGTGGCACTAAAGGGAAGTCGAGAAGCGGAACGAAGACAAGATCATCTAGCGCAGATTGAGCGGATGCTGGAGAAGCGGTTGCAAGTAGTTGAGGCAAGCGCGGCGGTCGCTGAAAGAGCGCGCTTGTGGCTGCGAGGGAAAACGGAAGAGCTAGCACAGACTGGGGCTCGTGGTCAATCAGACACAAGCGAGACACACAACGTTCGCCAGGACAATGAAGTTGGACCTCCTAGTGGATATAGCCAGGAAACCAGTCTAGAAGCGAGGCTTGAAACAGAATTTAGAAGCAGCTTTCGAGATACAGGATCAACGGCAGATACTAGGCAGACGACCAAGTCAGGTGCTCAAGACGACACTCTATCCTTCTCGCAGAACCCGCTTCCTAGATCCGTCGTTCCTCACCCCATTGTTAGGAGCCGAAGTCCTCACGAAACAGAAGTTCTGCGACAGAAGGTAGAGCATGCTTTCGAGAATACAGCGGTAGGAGCCCCTCACCTAGACGTTGTGCTTAGTCCAATCTCCAGCTCGGGGGCATTCACATCAGACGACCTGAGGGGTGTGAAAGCACAGGGGCAGTCCGAAGTTGGGAGTCTGGTTAACGAAGTCGGGTCGGATCTGGGAGTCCTGTCTCTGGAGCACAGCACGGCTTCGGATGAGGGCGGCTGGTTGGTCGGGCATCGAGATTCACGATTCTTCCAAAGAGAAGCTCAATCAGAAACGGACGCAGAGCAGTCAGTAGACCGTTCATGTCCCTCTCAAGGTGTAGTGAGGTCGTCTGAAAAGGCGAATGGGGTGGAGAGCTTGGTGTCGCCTTCAGATGACTGGAGCAGCAACCCGGTGGTGACGTCATGCAGCTTGTCGGGGGTAGCAACCGATGGGCGGGACAGCGAGAGAGAGGATCTCAGCCTTCAAAATGATCTATCAGTGCTGCATTTCTCGGGGGAGAGTCCAGGAGGGGCTGACGTCACAGCGAGCGAGGCTGACGTCACGGCACGCGGGGATGACGCACAGGAGCAGATGGGTCAAGAACGAGTCAGGGGTGGTGTGCGCAAGCGCGAGGTGTTTGACGAGCACGGGATGGTGAGGAGTACACGCGTAAACCTCCGTATAGCTTCCATATAACCGGCCTGGCTTTTGAGATACTTTTAGAACAAAGTCTCGATTGAGGGTCAAGAGCGCCTGGGTCGACCCCCCGAGGGGGGTTACACTTGGCCAGCGCCAAAAGCTTTGTTACAGATTGATTGGAGGTCTTACAGGCGTCCCCAGCATCAATCAAGAACAGCGGGCTCCTTGCTAATGCATTGGACCTTGCGAGGCGTCGTTTCCAAATATGACCCCACATCTCGTGCTCCACGTGTGCTTCATTCATCAGGGGCTCAGTGAAGCTACAAGACTTGGCTACGGTTGCCCCTCCTCCGAAAGCAGCACAGTTCTGACGGACCAACGTAAGAAGAGTATTACCTGTATCAGGGCTGAATTCCAGAGTTATGAATGTACTGAGCACTGAGGTTCTGATCTGACTGTCCCTACAGGGCGGGCAGTTCTTTGCAGCGGTTTGGCGGTCGTATTCAGATTGGGAGCGGCAGCAAGGAAAGGGCTGGGCTCGAAAACAGCAGCAAGCGGAGGAGCGGAGGTAAAAAATGTTCCGGGGTTTAACATTTTCGTTTCCTTGAATGAAAAGCGGCATTCACCAAGCACTCGGATGAAATATAGATCATCTCAGCATGTTTTTCGTTTCCGTCAATGAAGAGCGGCAAAGATTTCCGGATCACTGAAGAAGCGCACAACACATTTCCGGAGACCGCGAAAGCACGAGGAGCAGAGAGGCAATCTAGATGAGTCTCAATTCTCTCGACAAATAAGCGCATGACCGATAAATGGATTTGGCGAATGGTTCCCAGCCACGTTTCCAGGAACTTTGTACTGCGCGGCAAGAGACCTGCTTCAGTTAAGGTTACGTTTGGCAGCACTAACAAAGCCAACCTGAGAACCATCGAATGCCTGGGGTCGACTGGATCGTTGGATGAGGACTAATGCGGACGCTGCTTTGGCAGAACCATCAGTCTGCAATTGACGGCAAGGGCGTTTGCCAGCCCGCACCGTGCCATCCTTCAGTTCGATACGCTTTAGGGGAAGCGAAAAATGCGAACCGATTTCTGTGATCCGCCTTGAACACCATTCGGGCGCAAGATGCTGTCGGCCTGCTTTCTCAACACTTCGATACCTAAAGCCTCGGAATCCTGATGGTGTTGATTCAACAGAACCAGACCTTGCCTTTCTTCATCTGCAGGAAAGCCCAGATTGATCACGAACGGCAGCTGGAGAGAGAGGCGAGGCTAGCGGCGGAGCGGCGAGTGGACGAGGCAGAGGTGAGCACTGTCTTAAATCAGAGCCTTCGACCCAATTGAAGATGGTATATTCCCTCAAGGGTTGCTTTGGCGAACTGCTCTCACAACCCAAGTGACATGTCATTCATTTGGGATAACGGCCAAACTTTGTGCCTGTGAGACCAAAAACTGAGACGTTTTCTGCTAGCCATCTCAGATTTACTCAAACGCTTGTCCGGGATTTAGAAGCTTTTCGCGTTGATTCTCCGTTGGTCAGAACGTGGTTAAACAGCGGCTACAGCGGCTGTCGCTATAATCTAAAATAAAGCCATAGATACTTTTAATCCTGATTTGTTTGCGCTTTAAAAGATTTCCATGGATATCTTTTAAAAAACTCTTTAAATAAAAGATTAAAGATCAAATAAATAGATTAAATTAAAGATTAAATAAAAAGATCTTTAAAAAATTTCCATGGATACTAAGTTGACCTCACCGCGGATGCCATATAGTAAACCATTTCCTCTCCTTCGTCCTTTCTGACCGTTTCGAAACCGTTCTCTCAACAGGAACGGAGACTCCTTCAGTCGCGGCAAACGGCAGAAGAGCAGAGACGGGCTCGAGCGGAAGCCGAACGGGCGGAACGTGCGGTTCGAGAGCTGGAAAACGAAAGGTGAGGATCACCAAGTTCTGTCAGTGCACAGATCAACCTGCAGTTTTCTCGTGTGTAACTTTCCGGATCTGAAGTGCACATCGAGACCCCCATTCCATCATTTCCCACGTCGAACGTGGCGCGCAGCCGGGTTCACGCGATATCCACCTTCGTCTCTCCTTCTTTCTTTCTCCTTTTCTTTTCTTTTTCAAAAATGTGGGTGCTTTATAAGCGTGCTCTGGTGAATCCTTCAGCTCGAGGACTTTCGATGTCTCCGATCGCCCTGGAAGCCTTGACCCGGCCTTTCGTAGATTCTGCAAGGACCGAAAGGGCTTGAGTGTCCCGCTCTCAATTTCGGTCCAGCTTTTTACAGGCACTCGCAGGCACACATCTTTTCCAAGTACGGTGAAGTGCCTATATGTCACGTCCTTCTTTATTTTGATAATCAGTCGACTGAAGCGTTTCCTTGGGTTTGAGGACCGCAGATGAAAATGTGAGCTTCTCTATTGTTATCGAATCTGACTCATCGGCTCCTCTTTGGTTCGTCCCAGATTGTCCAGCGCCATGCTCGCCAGACTGTCGGAGCAGGCTGCGGCGGCGGGTATCCAGGTTCCGCCGCTATGCGGCTGTGCGCACGCCACGTGTCCCCTGAGCCCGCGTTACACGGCGCAGTGCGCGGACAACTGCGAGGTCCGCAGGAGCTGGGACTTCTACCAGAAGACGTTGTCCGACCTGCTGTATGCGGTTGGTCTGCTTTCGTAAGGAACAGCGGCTTCGTTCAGCGGGCAGCATGTCGGTGACCCTCTCCTACTACCAGATCAGCGAACCTAGGTTGGTGTATGCGTACTATAATATGATAAACTGATCACGCGTATCTGTGGTCCGGGCCATGTGTTTTTTCAGGCTTGCGAGATGATGGTGCCGTGACTGATGGCCGCCCGCCGGGCGGGCACGGTTCATTGCTGTGGCGGTAGCCGCGAGCTGCATGCCGCGGACTCTGTCGATCTCTCAAGCCAAAGCGATCGAGAGGGTTGCATATGTGCAGAAGATAAATGTGGCCTATAAGCAACTATCAGATGCACACTTACAAATGCGCGGCCACTCAGTTCGACACGCCTGGCAGCTATAACCAGTTGCAGTGGTCATTCCTCAGTGCGGGCCCATGGTTAGTCTTCATAATCTTAGTAATCAGCGAAGTAGTGAACTTCCAAATCAGTGCAGTTGCGTCCTTATGGAGTTTCTCAGCGCAAGAAAGTCGCTCGAAACCGTCGTGCATCAACACTAAAATGGATGAACAAGCGCAACATGGCAACTATGGCATGCACAGTCATGACACTCGCGAAAACAGATTAACAGATGGATGTTTCTGACAAATAGCGGCGGCTCAGGCCTGAGCCAAGGCTGACTCTGAGGCAGTGCTAATTACTTAAGGTAGTAGGCGTCCGACAGCCAATCCAACATAGTCTAAACTTGATGGCCCACCAAGCCTCAAGCCTGCATGCATGAATTAAGCAACTCTGGCACGCATGTACAATCCGCAATCGGCATGCTGAAGAAAGAGTCCAGGCTGTGGTAAGGTTGGCGCACAGATTCTCGCCGTGGGGAAAACCTGAACTTTTATTGCAGTGAAGGCTTTGTGGGAGCCCGCCAGATCCCTAGTGACCGGAATACACTGTGTCTTCTTTTACCATTGCTCAATATACTAGACCTCCGCAACTTCCGTGCCAGCCTTCGTCAATACCACTGGCCACTTCGCATTCGATCGCCGTCACTCGCTCTCCTGTCAACAGCCAAGAAAGCAAGGTACGTACACGCTAATCAGATTGAAGCGGTCGTCCACAGTAGTCACGCAATATTGAAAAAAGGATCGGTTTTCAATAGCGTTTCGAGGCAAAAGCAATCGATCTTCGATCAAGGAAAGGCCTTCCATCCAGCTGCACCGCAATTTTCAATGCCTACGTACATCTTGGTTGAAGGTTTCCTCGGTTCGATTCTTGTTGCCCTCGGCGAAGGCCACGAAGAAGAACCAGAGGAATCAGACCGATTTGCTTCCGAAAAGATAACGTTTTGAGGGCTGAACAGTGCAGCGGTTGTCTCCATATCGGTCAAATGCTGGAAACTTGGGTCTTTCAAGGAAATCGAGCATGCAGTATGCATACTCAAGCCGATATGAAGACTGACTACCTGACTCGACTTGCCCTGATTCATACATGTTACTTCGACGCTCAATTTTGGCTCATTTTAGACGGCGAGAATTGAAAACTAGATGACCAGAGAAGTAGCGAACGGAAAAGTAGAACTGGAGAGCTATAAAACCAGAGATGCGCGCATACCTTAATTACTGTACGCTAGGCATGATTCCGGATACGCCCCTCCCGCATCCGCTCGTCCTCGCGGTCCCGACCTGCTGACGTCTTTTGGGCCGAAAGCCACTCGCTGAAAAATTCGTGACTCGATGACGTCACTGTATACGGGTTTACCCCTCGTCTCTGCTGACGTCCGGCCGCGTAATACTCCTGACGTCTGCGCGTGAAGTCTTCCCAACATTCTTCGAGGTCCGAGAGGACTCCCGTCAACAGGGCAGAAAGCTCCGTCACCAAAGGAGCGCCGACGTGGCACCGTCCGATTTGCTTCAGCTCCGACATGGCTGCGTCTATATCGTCCGAAAGTCGGAGGTGCCGCGAGCGCACGGCAGGAGAGCTCCCCTCTGACACACCGCTTTGGTTTTGCAGATAGACTTTGTGGGCTGCGAGCGACGCTTCAATCTTACGAATCTTCGTCTCCACCTCTTTCAGGGGCGAGGAGACTGGATCCGTCTCGAACGCGGCTAGAATCGCGATCTTCTCTTCCAACACGATGGGAGCGCGTATGACGCGAAATTCAGGCGACTCTGCCACCTTCGCTAGATACGGTCTGACGCTGTGACCATACTTTTGAGCAGCGTTGTCGAAGAAAAATGCGCTGACTGCAGTCGACGCGCCCGTCCGCACGCGCGTCTTTCCGTCAGCCCGCACAACCCAGATTCCGGTTCTGTCAATCACCATAAGCGTCGGCGCAAACTGATATCGTACCGCCCTTTCCAGCTCGACGAGCGCTCGGATGTCGGCCCCCGTGGGAGGACTGAGACGCGGGACCCCGACACGTGTCACGAAGCCCCACTTGGCGCGCGTATCGATCAGCCGCCCCGCGCGCGCCCACAGCGCGGCCGCGGACTCCAGGCGGAACACGTCGCTCAGGTCGCCACGTGTCGCAAGGCGCGCGCTTTCCGGCTCCTCTTGCAGGATGCGGAACGGGTTGGATGCCACGTCTACGACGCCCATGTGCGGAGTCGCGGGGTTGTTGCGCGCCGTGCGGAAGAAAGCGTCGATCGCCGCGTCTACGAACTTCCCACAGACTTCGTCGTTGAGATCTTTCTCTGTATAAGCAGGCGTCTCCTGCGGGGGCTTATGTTGGGGGATCCCCTCGCGTGCTGCGTCAGCCGAGCCGTCGTCTCGGGGCGCCGGCCTTTGAATGGTCGCCATTTCAGAACGTCACGAATCGAACTTCCTTGCCAGAGGTAGGTAGAGATGGTTGCAACTCTCTCAAATCAGCGTTCCTCCCAGAAGTTCGAAGGTAGTTTTCTACTTTCTAGAATGCAGCACGCTCCGAGCTAACGTAGCAAAAGTGGTTTGCGGACCGGCCTGTCAATGAATCAATGGGTCGTGCACTCCCTTAGCAGGCCTCAACTTCCCGGCCGGTCAGCAGATTCGTACTGTTGTTTAGCATGATTTCTACAGCGCTCAGTTCAAGCATCCTGCCAGTTTTAGATACTGAGAGACGCTTAAAAAGTAAGACGATTAAGTTAGTCAAGCCTGAGATACGTACAGCGTTAACAAATTTCGACTAACTTTTAAGCTCTCCTTTCTATCTAAAAGTGGCAGGTTGCTCGCAAAGACCTAGTAAGTCGTCAGGTTCAAAGACTCGAGTAAGTTAGCCGCCTCGGAATTGACAGTTACCCAACTAAGGATGTTTCTGTGTCGTCTACCGAAGGCGGAGGGCCGGCATGATTAGCCTCCAGAGGGACTTCATTGAGTGAAATGTCTCTTTGACGCAGCAATAGTAAGCTCTAGCACTAGTAAGCTCCTACACAAACACGAACAATCTAACCCACAAAGTCACCCAATATACACCCACTCCGTACTCGAACTCAGTTTAACCCCCAAACTACCCCTACCCGTCCCAAGGTTGGTTAAGCTTACTACTGCTAAAGCTTACTATCGCTGAACTGAAAGATTCTCATTGGGTGAGCTCGGGCGGAAGGTTGACCGTCGTCCGAATGCCGAAGCCGACTCTTGCGGCCTTTACGTTTCTGGGGAACTTCACATTCGTTCAATCTGTTGGCAGGACCATCTGATTAGACTGGTTTGAGGCACCTTGCATGTGTATCTGTGCGCGCAATATTAACGAAACTCATGCCGCCCGCATTGACGTTGATGATGACGTCAGTGATTAGAGTTTGATCACGGCCGGACTCAAAGCAATGCTACAGGTGGCGCACTTAACTTGAAGTGATCATCAGATCGAGTATGCTGATGGTCAAGTCATGTGCATTGTCCAAGTTCCAAGTGTCCGAAGGTTTTATGTTAAAAGTATAGTTAAGTGGATTTCTATAGATATGATAAGCGGCCCTGGCACCGTAAAACACGGGCACGGAGATCAACGGACGGGGCTAGTACTTACAGCTGTACAGCTGGGTTGTAGTTAAGCGCTAACTGCGACGTAAACTTGCGGTCAGAAATGCACTATATTGGGTATTTATGGTCTTGAATCTTGCAGCCGGAGTCGGTACTTGACGGAGCACAGCCAGCACGACTTGACAGAAGCCCGTACCCCCGTGACGCTTGGGCAGAAAATAAACATTTCTGGATCTGCCCAAAATTTTGAGATTCTTGGTCAGATTCTGCCCAAATTTGACAAAATTCAGAAAACTTTTTTGCCCCTTTTACCAGCCTTTTTTGCCACTTTTCCTGCGTTGAAGCAGCCCGAATGGCGAAATTTGAACCTTTGCCCAATTCTCCAAATGTTGAGAAATTGGCAAAATCGTGTGCCCAATTTGCAAAGTGGATGCAAATTCACATTGGGCAAAAATCTGCCCAAGCGTCACGGGGGTACGGTAGTAGTTTTAATGATGCACGTTTCTCGAACGTCGTCCGGCTGCTACACATCGAATCCATGATGAGTAATTTGTCACTGGCTGGCTGATCAGGTCTCCGGCTTCTGCGGACAGTCGATGAAGTCGAATGTCAAGCTAGCCTGGGCGGTCCGGAGACTACATGCCAGTCTGAGTACTAGGACTAGTACTGGCAGGTCACTGTAGCCGCAGGAGCAAATCCTGCTGCCCATGCCCGCTAGTCCTAGCGCCGCTGGCGCGCGGTGGAGGAAGCCCCAAGGAAGTCGGCTTTGAGCAATAATCATGATTACACTGACAGTCTAACGGCCTACAAGTGCAGGTGGCGCGCGCGCAATCTGGTTCCCGTCAATTCGATGAAATCGAACCGTCGGATGATCTTCCTTTCCAGATCGCACCCCGATCGGACGGTTACAGAGTGACAGTTCGGACAGTCAGTGGCCGGGCCGGGCACTGCAGGGCGCGGCCGCCCACTTCAGACGGTTCCGAATTTCCCGGGGAAGACCCACTCAGTTCTTGAAGCTTCAGATCGAGCTTCAGAGTTTCGGATCGCCTTCAAACTTGGAGCTACTTGAAAAGTCATGGAGCTATTTTCGACTGGCAGATTCTGACTGGGAAGAAGAAGCAATGATGTTAATTCACCGACCTCCGAGCTATAGGCTCGTAAGGATTTTTCCCCCGGGCCCCGCCGGGCAAAAGCCATGAGTCAGGTTTTCGCGCCCTATGTACTGATGGGCATACGGCCGGTGTGACAGCGAATCAATCCAATTTTTGCCCCGATCCCCATTGCCAGACGATGGTTAATAAGCGGGGGAAACGTGGTGGGTCTGGAATATAGCTAGTGGCGGCAGCCTGGCAACGCCATAAGCAGTATGAAATCTTCAAAGCCTGTTCAATTAAAATTCAATTATAACGTCCTGCTCTTTGTTCTGACGTAATCTGGTCAAACTTATGGGAGTAATATACGGACCAGGCTCAGCTCGCCGTCGTATCGGTCAGCTACCGCCTCGAGATTGGTCATGCTGTGCCGGACGTGACTGTGATGAATAGATGATGCGGGTGCAACAGCCTGGCCCGCAGCACTTACAACCAGAGTGGCACTCAGGCTTGAACTAAGGCCTTCAAGCTTAGTACGATAGTAGGCGTCAGCCATAACCCGAAGCTCACAACAAGCGACTTTGGCATGCATGTACATGCGATTTGGCATGCTGAAAGAAAGAGTTTTGTGGAAAGAACAACGTGCAGATTGCCACCGTGCGTCACATTTGGAAAAAGATCATGCCACATCCGGCCACGTATATGAAGCAGCAGTGCTGACCACTACTTTTCACCTAGACCAATACGTGGATCTAGCAAGTTAAAAGGCGGTATTCTCATTGATAGCCCGTCAATGACGAACATCTAGCTCTACTACATGACCGTTCTCCTGCTTAAAGGTGGCAGCAACTGCGCCCTTGGACTTGGCCACCGACGTACTATAATCACGCAATCACATTAAGTCCCGGTACCTGCAAATTCCAATCTCATATTATTGTCTACGAGATGTTCCAATCGTCAAACGTCGACCTTCAGAGTCGAAGCCCTCTGCAAGGCAGCGCCTCGCTGAGATACTCTTATAAAAAACGATACGCAAGTTACTTGGAGAAGCGGCAAACTTTCCTCAGCCACCGTGAGCAACAAAGGCAACAATAACCCTCCATTTGAAACACGGACAAAGATCATGATGGGACTTGATCTTTCAGAAATCAACTTCGGCTGAATACAATGATGGAATACACAGATCGACCAGAGTCAACTTCAGTAGAGACCTGGAATAATCAGGGATGGAAAAAATGCAATGTCCTCAACCGTGATTGGTCATGTCACGAACCAAACCCAACCACGAAAACTAACAAAAAATTTATGCAGCCGACTCACTCAAGTCTGGAGCGGTATTGTTGCATGTATCTCCTGGTCAGCCGGTCCTTCGCCTCCGGGCACCCAAGGCTCTACCCCGGGAACCTCCGCCGCCACCGGAATCGGCCCGGCCATTCCGTCCTCCGCCACCGAAACTGATTCCGCCACCGGAATCGGTCCGGGCATTTCGACCTCCGCTACCGATTGGGCAACTTCAGCCCCGACCTGACCCAATTCACCACCAGGAGCTGGCAGCTGGAGCAGTCCTGGTTGCACGGGGACCGGGGCGCTGCCATTTACGCCGCTCGCTTGGACGCCTTCTGCAAAACGAGGAAAAGGCCGGATAGCGTCAGGCCTGGAAAGCGGACTGAGGGTCCATGGTTGTGGCTGGTTCCCGTGACGATCTTTCAGACGTTTCGGCTCTTGCAAAATGAGAGGTGACACATTCTGCACCCCATTCTGCACCCCGTACTGAAGCGACGCCATACTGATCTACGGTTGCCCACTTAGACACCTTGGCATGATCGAGAGGAGAGGCGGAGTAGCGTCGGGAACAAAGCAACTTATGAGCACAGACTAGCGCAAAGATAAGAGCCCCTCCTTATGATGGTCTGCTAGCCCTTTCCGTCTGACATGTGGTGGAATGGAGAGATCAAACGGAGTCTTGCCCAAGGATGAGTGAAGCACTTAAGTGCAGAACGTCTCTCTCGAACACAGGTCCAAAAGTGGCCTGCTTACTTTGTAACATCAAGAGCTTTCTTTCCGTCTGCAAAAGCGAATTCAAAAATCGGCTGCAACTTTTGATCCTCTCAAACCTCATCGCGCTCACCTGTGTTGACGGCCTCCAAAGGCATCGTCCCCTCCGCGCCAACCAACCCCCCCCCCTGCTGCCCCTGCCACCCCGCCGGCAACTCCCCTGCGTCAGGCTGCCCCGGCGCCCCACCAACCCGACGCGCCTTCGGCTTCCCCCCCTGAGCGAGAACCTTTTGGCGTTTCGCCTGGGCGCGCTCCGCCCGGAGGGTGCCTAGAAGTTCCTTGCGCTTCTGCGCAATGATTGGGTCCTCCACGTCCTGGAGCGCCCCCGCCGCAACGCGCCGCTCGCCCTCCTGTTTCAGAAACCAATCCGGTTCAGTAAAAAATCAATCAACGCCTTTGAACAGTAAAGTGAGACGGTCAGGTGATTTCGGGAGTCAGAACGGATGAGGATCAGGGGCTCGTAAGCACTCAACTTAGAGTTTCAGTTTGACTCAGACACCTTTATGTAGCTAGGACGAGGGCTCCTACACGAAACCCTGCGACACAGAATGTTCCACTAAAGGTGGATGCTTCGGTCACTAAACGATATTACCTGTTTCAGTTCGGGGGGGTAGTCCGTCTCAGGGAAGTTCAGCTGCGCTTTGGTGCCACGGTAGCGGAGGGCCGCCTGGTCGTACGCACGAGCAGCCGCGATCTCTGCAAAGAAAGACAAAAACGATGAGAACCCGAGATAGATTATGGACAACGGGTGCTACGAAAACGGTAGACACGGTGCCAAGATAGCGCAGCACGGCCTGGTCGTATGCCCGAGCAAAGAGGAGATGAGGTAGGCTATGGTGAAGGGAGGTTCTGACATACATTCGGCAATCGGAATATCGCACTGAATTCAGGACTGGATTAAAAAGCGAGTGATCAGAGGAACACTTCCATGTTAGAAGCCCAGTAGGGCCTCAACTGTGCAGACGGAGGTTTACAGTGACTGCGCATGGCTCCTCAAGCTCGCCTTCTTTGAAGACTTCAGCTTCGATGTTGGTTCTCCGTGATTCTGTTGTGAGTCAACCGAGCGAACCGACCTTTCGTTTCTCCTTTATTCTACAGAATGAAGTAAACTGTCCTACGTTTTTCTTGGGCGGCGCGAAGAGCGCCATAGCCTCGACTAACGCCAGCACGCCAAGCTCCTCCATCTTCTCATACCCTAACTTCCTGGCCTAAGCGTGTGCATGCGAAGACGAACCAACGAGGCAGCACGCTTGAGTCCCCCCAGCTTACCAGTGTCAAAATAGCCCAGGTGAATGTCGCGCCGCTGATCCTTGATTCGCGCCTGCCACCGCCCGTGGTGCCTGGTGATCCCCCGATATGCTGACGTCCTCTGCAACGCACGCCGCTTCTGCGTGTTGAAGAACAGCTCCGGATCGATTCCCGCCTCCCGCAGAACGAGCGCGTCCATCGCCGCCAAAGTCGCCAGACTAGTTACTGGGTGCACGAGCACGTTTTGGATGGCCTCGGGGCGCGGCCGCGTGAAAAGCGGGGGTGCGGTTTGCGAGGGGAGGGCGGGAGCCATTGGTGGTGCGCTTGAGGAAGGCCCAGCTGCAGGGAAGCTACAAAGTGGGTTACCTCCCATATGAAACCCTCATTTTATTCGTTTCACGGAAGGTCTCTGTAAACTCAATGCTCATCTGCATCAAGTTTACAGCTTCATTCAATTTTAGTGTGCCAGCGAGGAAGTCGATGATTTGAGGAGATCATGCTTCTTTTGGTGATGAAACTTCTGCAGGTTTCTATAATCATGTCACGCGTTTGTGAGCGAACCTGTTACAATTGAAGATATAGCAACTTGTGACCACATACAGTCTTCAGAGAAGCAATCAGTCTGCCCATCTTTCTCGATGAATTGATTCAATCAGACTCTTCGGCCCACATAAGGAAAGGCAGTCTTCAGTGGGCTACGAGTGAGGGTTCATATGTGCGAGACGCACCAATAACTCTCCATACCCTTGCCATCTGTCTGGAACACAGGCTATGTACTTTGCTTGGGGACCTCTTGATGGACCTCTTTAAGGCCGCTATCCTGAACTTATACACGTGCAAATATATGTGCAAGGATGTGATCTGAACCTCTGAGACGGCGGGTTTTGCGTGTCAGCAAACATGTCCCCACAGCCAAACAGGCTGTTCAACACTCGTTCACAGGAGCGTACCGTTGAGGACTGCCGTCGACCAATTCAAGTCGCTCTAAACGGCCCGCTCATGCAAAGAGCGTCTCTTCCGAAGAAAACACAAGAAAGCAAAAAAACTGTACCTGTTGTCGACTTCTGCGCCGCCGGCGCGGCATCCCTTGGGCTCAGCGCCCCAATCCCGTTCGGGGGGCTCAACGCCGCCGCCGCAGCGGACCAAAACTCCGCCACCGTCTGCGAACCAAACGACCCGAGCACCGACTGGTACGCCTCGAGAGTGGAGGAAAGACCAGCTTGGCTAACTAGAGCGGTGGGGCTGGGAAGAGCGGAGGGGAGCGGGCTAGGAGGGCCCGCGGCGAGGCTCATTTGCATGTTGGTACGGGCAGTTTGAGGCGGGGGAGGGCGTGGCGAGGGGGGGGAGGGGGCGGGGGGCCGGGGGCAGCCGGGGGAGCGGCGGCGGTCGTAGTTGGCTGCAGAAGAGAAAGTTAATTTCAGTTGCAAGTGAGAAGTTCGGGAATCTGTTGAAAGCGTAAGGGTCAGCTTGCGATGCTAGTGCGTTAGGTTTGATGTTAGAGTCAGTGACCTTGCCGCTGAGAGAAGCAGCGCCAACTGGAATCAATAATAAGAGTTGGGCAGAGACCTCCACCAATCTTGCCAAGACAAGCACCACTAATGGCCAGCCCGAGAGACACGTGGATACACAATCAGAGCAAGCCCTGCTTGTCCATTGTACAAGGCATGAGTCAGGCATCACTCAGTAGCGCTGCCGCGCATCCAACTTTCAGGCAAGGCAAGAAAAACGGCCTAGGGCATGCCACTCAAAAGCAATCTACGGAACCCGAGACTACATGCTGAAAAACGCCCCACGCACCTGAGTCCCGTCGCCCGTCTTCATCTTGCCACACTTCGGGCAGCGCATGAGCCCCGGAAGCAGATCGTCCTGCTCCGGCGAGTACCCGTGCGGCAGCGGGTTTGCGCCCTTCGACTCCGCACAATCGATCGGGGTCATCGTGGCCGCGTCAACTTTCCCGGGGACGCCGGTTGGGGTGTGCACGGTGGCAGGCTCCTCGTAGTCGGCCGCGCACAGGTTGGTCAGGCCCTCGGCGCCGCGGAACTTGAGGACGGCGCGATCGTACGCGCGGACGGCGGCCTCCTCTGGACGGATCAGACACAGCTTCAGCATTTTGTTCATATGAAACAATCAACCACTGCGGTTCAATGATTCAAACAATTTCTTATCATGATAACCCATGTATTGGTGCAGGAGATAGTCGATGTTTCAGCCCAAGAGCGCCACAAAGTGCCAGCCCCTCGCTTTGCACTTGAAAGAGAGTGACAGGATCACTGTCAAGCCTTCGGGACCAAAATTGATCCTGAACATCTGCCAGATACTATCTCTTTTAGTTTCTCCTCTTTTTGACGCACAATTCTCAGGTGCGCCAGACAAGCATGCAAAGCTGAAATAAGTGCAGATGAGGCCTCTGGCCAAGACAAAATCTGGCCAAGACACAAACAGCTTTCTCAAGTGCATGTGACGTGACCTGCATTTCACAAAATCCAAAAAAAGTGCCTACTAATGCAAGAAAGCTAGCAGAAGTTCATTGCTTGCAAGCAAGGGACGTGCAACAATGCAGAAAGCAATGTTTCTGAGGCACAGTGCTCAAAAACCGCCCAGCTGATTGGGAAGCCAACTCCTGCCTCAACCTCAAGAACACAAAGTCAGTCAATCAATTTCCAAAGTTCGCTTGCAAGAGTAAAAACCAATCGAGGAATGCAAGCCAGACAAACCCAATCAGCAGGTGCTTCAAACATGCATGATATCCACAGCGCCAATCAGCAATGTAAGAACACTGGTGCCAATTTGTGCACATGCAAAAAGATGGAGAAGAGTAAATGTAACACTGAAAGTACTGATTGCCTGCGCAAACCTGTATTGAAGTACCCCAGGTGGATGTCCCTCCTCGCCTCCTTGATGCGGGCCTGCCAGCGACTATGGTGAGGAGTGACCCCCTTAAAGCGGGACGGCCTCCCGTGCTTCATCTTCAGTCCTTCGGTTGGCAGCAAGCGCACCATGCTCTGCAAAAGCGCGACGTTCTGCAGCGCTTGGCTCGCATCACTAACTGCATTCCTAGCGGATGCGTCGGTCTGGTTCGAGCTCTGCAAGATGCTCGCCGCCTGCTGCAATGCAGCCATGGAGAGCTGCAGGTCCGGCCGGTTGTATGGGTCCTGCTGATGCGGTGCTGATGTCGGCGGAGCGGCCTCTTTTGTGACTTGTGGTTCCGCAGGCAGGGGGGGCGCCAGGTCGCTCTCCATGCTCTGCCGGACGGCCATTGAGATGGGGGGGGCCTCCATGGCTGCATCCAGCTCCCCCCCCTGGTCGATAACGCCCTCATCTGGAGCGTCTCCTGACCCCTGCTCAATCCGCTCTGAGAACGCATATAATGATGCACCGGGAAGGGGTTCATGCTGGATCGAAGCATCTGCTTTTTGAACGGTGCTTGCTTCTGCAACTGGGGGGTCTGCAACCCGGGGGGGGATTATTGCTGGAGCGACTGCTGCAACATCCGCAACAGGCTGCGCCTCCTCTGTCTCAGATGCTCCCGTTCCTGCATCTTTTGTTCCCGTATCATTGGCCTGTGTGGCCACATCTTGTCCTACATCGGTAGTTACAGCCTGCTCTGCAACCTGAACTGTTTCAGCAGGTAGGGTTTGCGTTGTCTCAGCCCCGTTTCCCTGTTCCACAACTGCTTGCCCCTCCCCAGCTCCTCCTGTCTCGGCCGCTTCTACCTCATCCTCTGGGACGTTCATAAACTCATCCACTTGGAACGCCATCAATTCACAGTATCAAACCTACTTCAACAGGACCACCTTGAAAAGATAGCTTGACCGCCTCTGTTTCAATTTGCAAACCCAGAAGCTCACGCACAACCCTAGCAGTCCCCTGAACAAATGCAGGACAGCTGAAACCCCTCACCAGCGCCAGAAAAGTTTGGTGCTTCTGCTGCGCGTTCTGCGAGCTCGCTAAGTTGCTGTTTGGCGCTCCTTGCTCGCCTTTGTCCGCGCGTTCTCAGAGTCAGAGGTTCTGCAGCATGAGGGAAGATGGCCGTTGGTCATATGAACAAGCGGTATGTACCGAGCAAGCATAGGCAACTCGCAAGCAGCCGCGTATGTACACATATACGCAGGTATAGATCAAGCGAGCATCGATTTATGCTTGCTCGGTGCTTGCTCGGTACATACAAGTAAAAATAAAATAAAGATTGAACTTTGAAGGCGCAAAATACCTTGCGGATAATAACCTACACACAATTGATTTTTTCGTGCGAACCCCGAAAAGCCCCGATCTCATGCATATTAAATTCAGAACCAGCATACGAGCGGATGGTATGCAGATGTTCTGTACTGGAGGTACATACCGGCTCCTCAATGCTCTTCTTCCTGTTTGAACTTTGAACTTGGAACTTTCAAGAACTTGTTCCAAGTTGTTGAAATTCAAACTGCGCTGGAGCTCTCATCTCAAAAGGATGGTGCAGATGCTGGAGTCTCATTTGAGGCGGGGACTGCACAAGTTCGCCACCATTTAGCTTAGCTGCTAGCTCCATCTGCAAGAATTGACATCAGGCTCCGTTTGGCATCTTTCTCTTTTGCAGTACATGTTCACTTCGCACAGGGTGGTCAAAGTCCTGTGTGCTTAATTGTTCAGACGGTCTGGTGAACTGAGATCGCGAGTGGAACACAATAAGAAAGATCACCGGGCTCAGCGGGTAGCCTGATGGTGTACAAAAATAAGCCAGTATGTGACTTGAAACTGATGCAATGCCACTGAACAAGTGGATTGCTCTGCATCGAAGAACGGTGCGGGATGCGACTGGGGGACCAATCGAAGCCTTCTAGTTACGCCGTTGTAATTACGCTGACCTTGTAAAAAATTCTGGATGCTCGCCCAGCTAGGTCAAAGTTAGACAGGACAAGACCTTGCTACCGCACTATCTGAACAGGTTATCTCTTTGATCTGTCAATGGCCCAATGTATCAACTTCAAACATGAACAGTTTCAAAGGCTCGTTTTGAAGTCCATCCTCTTCTTCTTCCTGCTGGATGTAAGGGTCTGCCAGGCAGTCTGGCCCTTTTCGGGGGGGGGTGGCGACCATGTTGGAATTGCCCCCCCGGTTCGGAGCCCCCGGGCGCTTATGACATCTCAGGGCAGCCTGCCACACTTTGAGGTCGAGGGAGGGAGCGGAATGGAACTAGCGGAGCAATATGCGCGGCAGAATGGCCTGATAGAGGCGGGGAACGACTGTCGGCAGCGGGCGTATGCGGAGCTGCAGCGCTCGTGCCGAGAGATCATGCAGGTGAATTTTGATTATTTTGGATTGCGAGTGAAAGGCTTTGGGCTTGTTCAAGTCTTGTTCAAAGCTGCAACATGGCGATTCTGAAGCTGGGACGTTGATTCGATTAATGCTTGAAAAGTAGGGGCGGGGAGTGGGGGCAGGTTGCCTGTTCAAAGTTGCAAGAGAAGAAAGTCTGGGAGCTGGACTGTTGCTTCGCTGGGGGGACAACAGAGAGGGGATGAGGGAAGGAATTTGTTCAAAACGAGTTTCGTAGGTCTAAGTTGAAAAGGGGGGCCTGTTGCTTTGTCAGATGATGCAGTAAGGCAGTGATTCGCCTTAAACTCCAATGATTGGAAGTGTTCACTCTTTGTGAGTAGCCTTTTCCTTCCCTTTTCTGCGCTGTTAGGCAGACCACTGAGTGAAAGAAAGTACTAGATTCCACCAAGTGAAAGAAGCTACTAGATTCCAAGTTTCTTCCACCAGTGAGTAGCTGTCTTTATGATACTCTGTTCACCAAGCTACCCGATGTTTACCTCGGAGAAGCGACGAAAAAATTATGGTGGCTGCATCTTGGCCGCATCTTGTGACTCAGCTGATAGTCGCCCATCTTGTGCGACATCTTTCATTGAGCCAAAGAAAATACTGAACCACTCAGATTCTTGTTTCGTTGAACCAAGAAAACATTTTGAAGTGCTCCTGATCCCCTGCTCTTTTGGTTATCCCATACATGAAACAATCTCCTATATCGTGTACGCTATCATTGCAGTAGGCAGCCCTCAGGCACCATTCCACCTTTAGTCCAACTTGGAGCAAGACTTGGAAGCTTGTTTCTGAGCTGAAGTCTGTAGGCAGAACCCAGAAGCCCCGTCAACTACAGCTTTTCAGCAGCTTTCCAGCTCTTATTCCTGAAAGCAAAGGGACCAGTTGTCTCTTCTTCACAGCCGGCAACATCCCCCTTCGACTCCCCATCCACTTTGCAAACTGCTTCCCACTAAGCGGGAAGCTGACACATTTGAAAGTCAGAACTGCAACATCTTCGAGCTGCGGAGTCAGAAGGCAATTCGTACCAATGTAGGTTATCAAATTCTCTGCAGTCCGCAGACATCCGGCATCGCCTCGCCATCCAGTTTGCGAACTGCTTTGCGGCGGAGTCCGGCAAGCCGACCTTTCCGTGTCCTGAAGGGAGGAGCATCAAGGACTGCACCGCCACGATGGACGACCTCGCCCACTCTAGTTACCGCAGCTTCTTCATCCATGTGGACGCCACCTGTCACCATCTTCAGTGAGTCATACTGAAACTATACTTACTCCTGACGAAACGTTTTGATTAGAAGGCAGAACTGGCAACTGAGTCCAGGTTCAGCCTCAAATTTCATTCTCCCGGGTGATCAAGGGCAGCTCTAATAACAGCTTATTCGTATTAATGGACGCCACCTGTTTCCAAAAGGCTCGAATCTACCAACTTCAGTGGATTTCGTCGTTGTGGACTTCCTTTGCTTTTGGGCAACTTGAGCTTCATCATAGGTTGGCGCTGATACTCTTCCGGATTTATAAACCTGCTCCAGAAAAGGTTGGGGCTCATTCTGACCTTACCCTTTATTAATATCCAACGCCTGTAATCAAGGCAGGCTGTGGCTTTCTTCTCAAGCACCAATGCCCGCTTGCCAGTGTTCTCTTGAGCCCCAAAGTGACGGGATACTCTCAGTTTGAACAGTAATATGAACACTGTCAGAAAGGTCACCCCCGATCCCTATTTTCACGCCCTCCCCTCAACTGATTTACCTTTGTCTCACAGGAGCGAGTATTTCACGCAGCGAACCGAGGGCATCGTGAACCGGCTCGTCCAAAGCTCGCACCGCACCGCCGAGCAACTCACGTCCGTATCCGGCCACTCAGAAGCCATTCTCGAGCGCGCCGACCGTTCCCTCTCCCTCCAGCGCACCCTCGAGTCCAAGCAGGAAGGGTTCCGGGCTCTGCTGGAATCCAGCATGGATGACGTCATCAACGCCACGTGGCGCATTCGTGACGGTGTGGGTGACGTCATCGAGAAGCAGGAGGCCGCCGCGGCGCGCCAGGAAGAGATCGCCAGCCAGAACCTGGCCGTGATGGGTCGGTTAGAGGCGCAAACCGAGCGGGTTAGCGGCGGGGTGAACAGATCGTTAGAGGGGCAGGGAGAGCTGCTGAAGGGTCAAAAGGAGGCGGTTAGGAAACTGGTCGAGTTACGAGCGGAGCAGGAACGGGCGTTTGAGGTGCACACCCAGCGGCTGGTTGAGTTGAGCGGGATCGCAGAGCGGCACGCGAAAGAAGTGGCGACGTTCCAGGCGGGAATGGAGGCGGCGCAGGAGCGGCTCGCGAGCGGGAGCGCTGCAATTCTGGAGCAGCAAGTAGGAGACGGGATGTTTTCTTCTCTCAATGTTGTTTCGACCCATTCGCTGCAACGTCCCCTGCCTCCGAGCAGGCATACGTCTTTACCTTCCTGGGCCGCATGTTCTTCAAGACCAACAGTCCTCTGACTTTATTGTAGGGAATTCTGCATAAACCCTCCTTTATTCTTCTTTAAATAGTCCATCCCTTTCGCTTCTGCAAGCTTTGATTGCCTTCAAACAGACAAATCGTTTCGCGAACCCGTCCATTGTTGCGGACTTGTTAACTTGGAACCGTTCTGCATAAACCTTCTTCACCGCGTCGCTAAATTTCTTTATTCTTTTCGCTTGTGCAGGCTTCCTTCGCCTCCAAGCAGGCGGACGTCTTCGCGTCTCTTGACCGCATGTTTGCTCTGTACGGGGCAATTGTCTCCGAGTCCATGGCCCTCAAGAGCCTCCTCTTCTACGCCGCCGCGGTGACCATAGCTTATGTGCTGACGGCTACCAAAAGGACTCGAAACGCCCGCTTCTGGTTGTACTGCGGTGGGTTCATAATGCGTTATCAAATGTCTGTTTCTTTAAAGTTCGTCGATGGTGATTGATGGCTGGGGCAGAAAACCATAAAGGCATGCGGTGACCATAGCGTGTGTGCTGACCGCCACCAGGAAGACTCAAAACGCCCGCTTCTGTCTGTTCTGCTGTGAGTCTAGAGGTTGTCATCTTGAAGTGCTAGCATCTACGTAAATGGCCATGTCTCTGCCAGTACGAGTGCGGCAACAAAAGCTTCTGCACAATTGCACTTTCTGTCGGGTCCAAGTTTGAGTGGCTTGTGTCAAGCGTTAGCTTCCAGAAGCAAGAGTTTCGTTGCATGATGGGCTTGAATTTGGTCGACGTTAAATGCGCTTCATATCTGCCAAGGGCTTATCAAGGTCTTCGGTCTTCTTTGCCAGTTCTGTTCTTCGAGGAAGCTTTCAAGTCATCAACTGTGCTTTTCGACGTCACTTGAGAAACTGTGACCATTGCAAAGAAAATTGTGATCCCGGTCAGATACCCCTTCCTTTTTGTCACAATTGCTGTAATATGGGATTAAAACATTGTTTCGGAACCTCAGGGTGGAAGTTTACAACTCATCTCGAGTTGTCGAGACCTCTCCAGCCGTTTGGTTTGGAAACAAGCACACTGCTTAGGCGGTCATTTTTGCCGTGCAGGTCTGACTGCGAACTTTGCGGTGGAGTGCGCTTTGGTGCGCTTCTTCGACCCCGCGAGACAAGCCGCCGCCGTAGGGTCCGGTATCCGGCTCACGCGCGCTGCATTTGCTCTTTACTCCCTAACCGTACTTGGGCTGACTCTGCGAACGTATAGGTGAGAAAACGGGTTTGGACACTTTCGAGCACTTGGATGTCAAATTGACCATGTCTGAATCGAGTTTCCAAGACCTCTGCGGCCTGTTTTGGTCTTCCGAAGGTGGCACATAGACAGCAGCTGCCGGACGATCTAACGAAAACCCACCTGTCACCGAAACTCACGGTGAAACTCGCATTTTTTAACGCGTTCTTCTGCTTCTGCACCAGCTGTTCTGCGTTCTCTCCTTATTCTGGAAAGGTGGGGAAAGAACCAGCTTACACATTAGTAGGAGTTCAAAGAATCACCTAGAAACGCTGGAAACGTGGCAAGTCTCTTCGACAACCAACCCAAGAAGTGTGTGGGCAATCGAGCGCTATGTTTTTCTTTTAATCTTTTCTTTGTTCTTTGTTCTTTGTTCTTTGTTCTTTGTTCTTTTATTTTTTTTCGGCATCTTGTCACGGCCTTACTTCACCCGACAATCCGGAAAGCTGAAGGCCTTCCGAAGTTTGACAATATCAACCCATTGTTGTCATTATTGCAACCCGGACACGTTGAGTCCTTACAATCCGGAAAGCTAAAAGCGCCTTCCGAAGTTTGACATTATCAACCCTACTATTATCAAGATTGCACCCTGACACGTGGACTCCTTCTTACAGAGACTTCGCCGTCCTCAGTTACACCCTATTAGAGGCCCAATCGGCTAAGCTAGCCCATATCGAGAAGCGCCTCTACCAGACGCCTCGCACTCCCAAAGACGACCAACTCTCTCTCCCCGCCAACGAGGAGACGCCACGTGGCACTTTCCTGTTGCCGGACATGGAAGGGGAGAGCTTCGACGTCCGTGCGTACTGGGCAGAGTCTAGAAAGTGGGACGAGGAGGGGAGTAACGCTGAGCCCAGCAGCAGTGACGAGAGTTACGCCCCCACCCGGGGGCTGGGGGGGCTCGGCTTAAGGTGGCGGGAAGGGTATGATCTTAGGCGGAGGCCGTTGCCAACCTGGTGAGGCCACGGGTTGAGAGCTGGTTGGCTGCGGTGGAGCGATGCGTGTGCTTTATTAGTCAAGTCGGAATCGTGGCTCTACTACATTCGTTGTGACCTGCTCTGCGTCCCTTGAAGAACCGGTTCCGTGGATCAAACAAGTAGAAAGTCAAGCAGATTGAAACGGTGGAATAGATCTAGCGTCTTACTTCTTTTCCTGGTCTGGACTCTGCTGAATGCTCCAAACCTGCCGCTTCATTCCTGGACTGACTCTCAATCTTGTCAGAGCAACACGAGTTAGTCCTCACTAACTTCAGAGCAATTCGGATCCGGCGTTATCCAGGCACAGGGCTGAGTAACCGCAACAGCAAGCTTGAAATATAATCAAAAAGCGTAAGACAGCTGGTTGAATAACTGGTGCAGAGTGTGACTCGTGCAGGAGTAAAGGGCGGGAGATGCTGGCTGGGGAAGGGGTTGACGAGTTTGCCGCGACGATACTCTCCAAGGTGAAGATCTCATTCCCCTAATTCTTTCGTTTGTGCTCTGTCCTTTTCTTCCACATAGCTGCCTCCTCCTTTGATCTGGATCACACTTCAAAAACGAGGAGCATCCGCAAAATCGACCTTTTTAAGGTCCCTGGTCCGCTTGCCTTAGCTATTTCACAGCATCTGACGGCTGCAGAGGACAGTCGACTCTCTTCGTTGTGCGTCGGAGCGGCTTCTTGCGGACTATCAACCGCAAAGTTAACTGCAACCAAATGGCCGTGTTTGATATAGGAGTCGATGTAGCAGCACGTCCCTTCACTTTTCCACCCCAACTACCGCGGGCCTGAAGACTTATAATCCCTGACGCCTGCTCCATATCCTTATTGTTTCTTCTGCATCTCGAGCTAACAAGGAGCCGTTGTCTCGTTGTGCAGACCTTATACAATCAATACGCGGAGCACCTAGCCGAGACCTCGTCCGAAGAAAGTTCGAAAGTCACTGTGAGTGTGAGCCTCTGTGACTCGCACCTAACCCAGGAGGTGGCGGACGAGGCCTCGTCGTACGACCTCACTGTGACGTCATCGTGGATGCGAGCTCGCCACGTGGCAGTCGTGCCGCGAAGTACGGCCGGGCTTCGTCGAAGCCGACGACAAAGCGCGGCGTGTTAGGGTACAGGGTAATTGTTGATAATTGACTTAAAAACGCAAGCGTTCATGATCAAGCTTATCTTGTTTAGTAGCGTCTTCGGTGTTTTGACTCTTGACTTTTGGCTTGCCTAAGAGCAGATGAAGGCAATTGCTCTTATAGATATTGACAAGTTCGTAGCTCTTGTGCATTTAGTTGACGTAATATTAGCAACTTTCAAATCTAAACGGTGGGCTGCAAAGTCCTGACCATGTTCATCAAATGTCAAACGTGTCTTTATTTTGGATCGAGTGGCTCCCTATTACAGGGCAAGTTTTTGAGGGTTCTGACGCGAGGCCTATTACAGACCGCAATGGTATAACGACTCAAGAGAATCATGACGTTAGCGCTAGCTTTCAAGTTTCATTCAATGGTTGATCGACTCGGGGCCGACCGGCTCAGGTATACCTTAGGACCGTCTGCGCCAAGGTTCAACAATCCGACTGCTTGCATATTCATTGAATGTTCAAGTTCCATGCTACGTCGAATACATTTCGCGGCCATGAGAGCTCTGGCTTGACCGTCGTTAAGCTGCAGTGCGCTAGCTCGCGGGACCCCGCCCCGCCCATTGTCTGGTATAATTCTCGAGCCAATCGGATGCAGCTCTGATCGTCAGCATGCTGCATGCTAGCTTGACCGCGTACTGGCATCAATCAGATTATTTTTGCCACTGCCCGCAGCTCCGGGGGCCCCATGCAGGCCTAATATGGCTCATGTGCATGTGTGGCGGCAGCCGTCGACCGTACATCCGAATGCATGTCTGCCGTGGCCCTTGATATCGATCACTTTTCCAGACACCGGAGCACATTCTAGGTGCACGATTGGCAATCTGCATATGCCGGTTGACTCGATCATGGAACCCAACCGTACGTGCACCATGCAGTCAGGCTGCGACTTGGGAGGGCGTCCTATAAGTCTGGCCGGCTACAGAACCAAGACTGGACCGTCGTACAGCTGGCGAAAGTTGCCAGAAGAGTCGCCTGGGTTTCGGGTCACACTAGCTAACGCGTTCCGACCCGGCCATCGTTTTCGAAAAGATTGCGGTTCTAGCCGCGTTCGAGACAGATCAGGCCGACTCGATCGCACTGAAAATGACGTAGAAAAATCTTCAAAACGTTTGTTGAGTCGCTCACCGTCAGCCCACAAGCTGTATCTGCAAAACCAGTGCGAAATTCTGCAATATTTCGCCTCTGAGTGGACTGAGTAGCTAGTCGCCTGCCGTCTCCAACTTTCCAGAACGAGATAGACTTGCAGCCATGTCGGAGCTGGAGCGCATTAGACGCTGCCACGTCAGCGCTCCTCTGGTGTTGGTGCTCTCTGCCCGACCTCGAACGCAGCTGGGATGAATTTACGTGTAGACGTCAGGATTGTTACACCGGACGTCAGCAGAGAAGCCGGTATACAGTAACCTCATTGAGCCGGGACACGCTCAGAGGCGATGGATTTCGGCCGGAAAGCAGGACGAGAGCGAGAGAAAGCAACCAGAGGGTCGTACCCGAAACTAGAGCATGGTAAATTACGACGCGCGCTTCTCTGGTTTCCTATTTTCGCCCTCCGATCCGAGCCTCACTCAATCGAGGCGACGTGTGTCACTCTGGGCGAGCAAAGGAGTCGGTCTTTGTACCGGCTTGAGTATGCATTCTCGACCAGATTCGGAGAATGAAAAGACCAAATATCCAGCGACGTTTGACCGATCTGAATACAGCTTTTTGCACCATTCAGCCCTTGAGTGTTGAAACAACCTTCGCAAGCCATCTCTGCTATCAGAGATGCAACTTGGCTCCTCTCAAAGACGTTTTGAAAGTCGGGCGACAAGAAAGCGTGCAGCCGGCCGAAGGTCACCAATAAAGACGTGTTCGACTTTGACGACCCTCTGAGCTGCTTGAAGTCCTTCCTTTCACGGTGTTACTGGGTGATAAAGCGTCGGTGTTCAGTTGTTCTCTCAGTTTGCTACATATTGAGAAGGAGCAAAACCTCCGATGGATTATGTATATCTATATGGTGCAGTGCACAGAAACACTGATCAATCAAGTTTCCACAATGCACTCATGTACTGCGGATCTGGTACTGCACAGTGCCAACGTTTCTGATGCACTTCGAGAGCCGCCGGCCTGTTGCGAAGTTGCTCAGTTTCGAGCTTCTTAAGATTTGGAGGTATTTGGGAAGTTACGCGAGTCGTTTGAATCTTTGGACTTGGAACAGTCGCGGCCGTGCGCGCGGCGCCGTACAATAATCGCCTCGCTTAGAGGGGCAATAAATACAGGCCAAATTATTGACAATCGTACCCCCCACCAAGAGCGTATGATAAGCCGCTACTCAAAGGCGATATTGACACGTGTCAGGTCGATCGACGGTGCAACGCTAGCCACTTGGCCACGTGTCGCGGCAGAACTGGCGATTCTGCTCTGCACATGCAAAGGCGAAAATGGCGGGCAGCTGGAAATTGAGTTAAAAGTTAGTGCTGCAGTTGACTGATTGCGCAACGCGCCACCTCAGCCATTGCGTCCTAGGAACGGAGATCTGAGAAACGCATTCTGCAATGGCAGCATTGTGAGAGTGAGAGCGTGGAGGACTTGGCCTTTGTGTTGCAATGTTTGCTCGGTTCATATGTTCGGTAAGAGGCAAAGAAGAGTGTCGTCCACCTTTGCGAAGGCCAGCTTTTGCAGATCACTTGTAATGTAGTGCCTGGTGCAATGGGGGGAAGCCATTCTGGAGACAAGTCTTGTGTAAGAAGCAATAAGACTCTGTTTGTCCTGACATAGTTTAGAACCTTCCTCTTGATTGGTAGTGGTGGCAAAATAAGTCTCTGAGGGCCTCTGCCGATCAGCCTTGGTCATGGCCTCCTCTGAGATCCAGGTTATCGGGGCGGGTTTTGGCAGGACCGGCACCACCAGTTTGAAAGTTGCGCTGAACCAGCTAGGGTTTGGCCCCTGTCATCACATGAATGAGGTAAGTCCTCAAGCCAATGCCGACCGTTTTACGGCTCATTCTGAGCGAACGTCTGCTTTGAGTGTCAACTCTGATTTCATGTAGAAGCAGACTGACATAATCTGCGCATTTGACAAGGAGGCTAGACAGAAGGAGCTGTAGTGTTGACACCGCTAATCATCACCACAACCTGTCAGGGCCTCCCTTGTCATGGTGGTAAGGGCAAGTGAAGGATTTGAAAGTGGTCTGTCCAGAATGAAAACTTTCTGGATAGCGGCTTCAAATGCAGCAAGTATTTGCTTTGAGAGTGGACTGCCCTTGCTTGCAATGATCTCATACTTTTCTAGTAAGAGGCTTTCCACGGAAGCAACCAGTTTTTCAAAAGGCGCTCTGGGCCAAGCGAAGTAAAATTTAGAACTGACACTGAAGATACAGTTGAAAGAACTGGAGTTCCCGCCGTTTCCCAGGATGACTGGTGTAATGAATGGTTGGTGCTTCATGTCATTGACGTTGTTTGATACCCCCCTTTTAATCAGTAGAAGAGCAATAGGTCAAGGTTGAAGTAAGTCCAGGACGGTGTGCATTTCAGATGATGACACCTGGCGCTCTTGATCTCAGATGATGACAACTGGCCCTCTAGAGTGCCTATCGATGCAGTATGGTTAGAGGCCACATCAGGAGCTTCAATTCACCTGCGGTTTGAAGTAACCTAAGGAAGTGGCTCCCTCCATGCGTTCTGTCCTGCCCTCAATGCTAGCGATGTGCTTTGAGCTGAATCTTCGTCACAAAAAGGATTCTTCAAGTCAACCTCAACCAGCAACTCTAATAAGAACTCACAGAAAGATCAATAGGTCTGATTGCAATTCTCTGAACTGTGAGATCTCTAAGAAACCTTAGACAGTTGTGATGCACTTGAAATCAATGGAGTACATAACCTCAGAAACAAGAATTAACACTTTGGCGATTACAAAGTCACATGTAGAGAAGCTGACGAAAATCCTGAAAGCCGTTGGGGCTTGGTCGGAAGGAAAGGTCTTAAACCTTTCTTAAACCTCGGTTTCTATGCAATTGCATGCTCTGTGTCTCACCCCTTTTACATCTATATTGTTTTGATCTTCCAGCTCGTTACACTTGGCGACGCGAGAGGCTTGTGGCTTGACATTGAGAGGAGCAAGCTGGAGCACGGCAGGGCAGATCCGGTTTTACTGGCGGAGGCGTTGAAGGAGTATCGTTCTACTGTGAGTGCGTTCAACTGAGACTTAGGTCGATGTCCTTGGTTCAGCTGGTGTAGGCCAAAGTGAGTGTGACATCCTCAGCAATACTACACCTAACGTGACTACTATGTTGGTCATTCGACCACTTTGGGAATGCCTTGAATGCTTGAGCTTCAAGCAACAAACTGCTGTACAATTGAAAGATCACTGAGCATGTTCCGCTTGATTGGCGGCATGTAAACTCCGGAGCCTGTCTTACCACAAACGAACACTGTCAGCGGCACTTCTTTCGTAGATCAAGAAGGAGGACTTGCAAATGGGATACATCAGAGTCGTTAGGACATTGTTATGGGATAAAAAGAAGGGTTTTGAACCTCCGTTTGTTATCCTTTTTTTAGATATTCAGGGACTCTTGGTTGGACGACTCTTCAGTTACGTGTTAATTCATTTGAATCCAAATCGCGGGCAACTAGCATTTCTGCCTCCTGACCTTTTCGAAAGTCTCTTGTAGGCAGCCGTATTCGATATTAACCACGGATCAACGTGAAATATGCACCTTTGGTTGACTGGCGCTAGTCACTCACGGTTACTCAACATTGAAGTTGCTAGGTAGGAACGCCACAAAGAGGTCTCCAATAAACACGAGACCCACAGCTGTTTGGCCTCACAGGATCTGAGTTCTGGCATGGTATGGCAGACATCGAGGTTTCGGGCATTTTCTCCCTGATCTAGAGAATACGGGGACCGTTTCAACCGACAAAAGGATGAATGTCTATTTCTGGTTGCTGCTCGACCGACAGCTTCTTTCAAAACGGGGCAGCAACGAAAACAAGCCGGAAATTCTCTGTTCCACCCAGCTAACTAGGTCTGGCGTCTTTTTCTGTGCGGCAGATGGACTCACCCTGCACGCATTACTGGCGGAAGCTCTTTGAATGTCTCGAACGCCAACGATTGACAGTCTCATCGTGAACGAGGTTACACGCGGAACCCGTCTCAACCCGGCTAACTAGGTTTGGCATCCTTTTCTCTAAGCAGATGGACTGGCCCTGCATGCCCCACTGGCGGGAACGTATCCAAACGCCAAAGAACGCTGGACTGTTTAAAACAAGGTCGGCACCGAACCCGGTTTCTATTATCAACACGGCTAACTAGCTTTTGCGTTCTTTTCCGTCGGCAGATGAACTGGCCCTGCACACGCTTGGTGGGAGCTCTCTGAGATGTCTCAAACGCCAACAATCGACACAATATCAAAGACGTGGTTACGACCAAAACCCGGATTTGATGTAACGCGGCTAATTACTAGGTTTGGCGTCCTTTTTTCTCGGCAGATGGACTGGCCCTGCACGCACTACTGGCAGAGCTCTCCGCGATGTACCCAAACGCCCAATGACCGACAACTGTCCTGATTGGAGTACAACCAAAATCTGGGTTGGTTAAACCCGGCTAACCGGGTTTCGCGACGTTTTCCCTGCGCCAGATGGACTGGCCCTGCACGTGCTATTGGCGGAAAACTCTTTGAGATGTACCCAAACGCCAACGATCAACAGACTGCTCTGGACGGGGTTACGACCGAAAACCCATCTTTCAAACATAACCCGGCTGATTAGGTGTGGCGTCTTTTTCTCTCGGCAGATGGACTGGCCCTGCACACGCTGTTGGTGGGAGCTCTTCAGAACGTACTCACGCCAACGAACAATAACTTGGTTTGAACGGGGTTACAACCGGAACCCGGAATCTACACCTTAACCCGGCTAACTAGGTCTGGCGTTTTTTCTCGACAGATGGACTGGCCCTGCACGCGCTATTGGCGGGAGCTCTCCGAGATGTACCCAAACGCGAAGGTCATTCTTACGGTGCGCGACTTCGACAGCTGGTACCTCAGCGCGCAGAACACGATCCACCGGCTCAGCAAAGCGTACCGGCGCAAGTTCGAGCTGTTCCCCTGGTTAAGACTCCTGCGGAGAAAGGACTACTTGTGGGTGCCGATCGCGGATCAGGTGTGGGGGCCGAAGGGGGAGTTCGACGGGCAATTTGAGAACCGGGACGCGGCACGCAAGATGTTCGAGCGGCATATCGAGGAGGTGAGTTCGCCGGAAGAGATTTGGTATTTCTTTGCGTTGTAGGACTTCTGTGGGGTAGAAATTTGACTTGCTTTGAGTTCAAAGCTGCCACCAAACCCGAAAGGAGAATCTGACGGCCATTCTTAAGACAGAGAGGCGTCGCGCGCCGTCTCGAGGAGCACGTGAAGGAGGTAAGTCGGTTAGAAGGGTTTTCACGGTTTTGTGCATTTAGGGTTCTGGTTCGGAAGCAGACAAAGGCGCTCCGTGCTTTGGTGTTCCAGCAGACCTCAAACAGCGGCAGTTCTGCTACGTTGTCGCTTCGAGAACCACGATGCGGCGCACAGGATATCCGAGCGACATATCAAGAAGGTGAGTCGTTTGATTTTTTTCACACTTCTACCTTCCAAGCTTGGTCAATTTTCGGAGCGCTCCAGAATTCAGACGGAAAACTCGCCAGCGAATCCTGAGCCGTAGGGCTGCGGACTTGTTGCTGTAAGGGGCCGGGACGCGGACCGCATGGGCTTTGAGCGACACTTTTGAAGGGGTGCCCCTGTTGAGAAAGATTTAACACCTGCGTCTTGCAGATTCACTTCGCTAGATTCTGAGAGCGTGCCCAGATCCTATGGTGCAAGCAAACGGTAAAAGGAGGGCTGCTGTTTGGATTTGAGGACCAGGAACACGGCGCGCGCAGTCTTTGTAACCGAGGAGGTAAATTGCTCCTAAATGGTTGCAAAATGCTTGATAAGGGTCTCAGAGTTTCAGGGTTTGGGTGCCCAACCAGTGGACCTCTGCCGGTCCTCGAGGAGATGTAGAAGGTGGGAACGTCTCAAAAAGAAGCGGACCCACGAGAGAGCTCAATAAGGACCCGTCGCACCACGCGCTTTCGTCGAGCGACAAGGAGTTGAGGTGGTTTGCCAAGGCTGGTGGCAAGTTGACCACGTGGCTTTTTCGCGACGCTCAAGAAATGCTGTCAGTCCGCTATGTGACATCAATTGAGAGCCGCTTCAGGTACCTCTTTATGGGTGAAGCTGTCGGGTTTTGTCAAAGATGGAATTGGAGTCCGGTTTTGTCGTCTGGGCCAAAATCGAGGGACTGGAGTAACTACATTGAACCGGACCGCCTCGTTCGAAACCCTGAGCACGCTAAATTCTACCGATCCGCCTGCCACAATGTTCCGGGGGCTTGAAGCGTCAGATCCGCCAGATGCTTTGTGGGCAGAAATGCGGCGTCGATAGCAATAACAGTGCTTCCGATCCATCCCCAGGTGAAGGCCCACATTCCCCCAGAGCGCCTACTAGTCCTTGACATCAACGAAGGGTGGGAGCCCGTGTGCAAGTTCCTGGGCGTCAAAGTACCAGACACGCCGTTCCCCGTGAAGAACACGACGCAAGAGGCGGCGGGGCGAACGGCTATGGCGAGAATAGACAAGATCCTAGCGGCGCTTCCGATAGTTGCCGCAGTGGCAGGGGTGGCGATGTGGGTCTTTTTGCGAGCGCAGCAAGGAGGATGACGTAATCATTTGGCCCCGGAGATGACGTCATCATTTGGCCCGGATTTAGGAGCTTATAAGCTGGAACATAGTTAGTCGAATATGGGATTTGATGATGTGCCTTAGTACCAAAGCGGGCGGCCTCGGTACGCACCTCCAGGAAACAATCGGCGTTTAGTATGCGGAACTATTCTTTTGTAACGAAATATGCTCGATCCAAGATACGCAAAGGACTTGTATAGAGGACGACATCGATTGAGTCAGCAGTTTGCAGATTGGCACAGGCACTGCAAGCACATTGCTCTTATTTTATGATTCATAAGTAGGATGGCGTTTCGCTATGGCCTTCTGAGACGAGCAATAAAGGCGGTTGGCTGGCAAACATAGATAACGAACATATGTAGGATATAGGAGGCTGGACTAGCGGCGCCGAGGAGTGCATCTCGGCAGAGTGGCGGCAGCCACACAAACTCAATGGAATACTCAAAGAATCTTGAAGTCGGATCTTTCTGAAATCAAGTTTTGATCGCCTGAATTCAACGCGCTCTTGCAGTGACCGGCTAGCCATGCATAGTATCAACTTGAACTCGCGCGGCTTGACGGTGACCACTACCGTTTAATCCCATATCGTACATCGCACCATTAAATTTAAGGTATTCTGAACCACGCCGTCGGAAGCCACTAACTTTTATGTGCGCACATGTGCGGGTACAGACGGTCATCTTACAGGGCGGCGTGTGGTGGCAATTGTCCGAGCCTTATATATTTGTTGTAACAGGCTTCTGACTCCCATGCAGATCGAGCGGTACGTCAACAGCCGCGTCCGGATCCCTCAGCATGCACTACAAACTTGCCTGCACTTCCTTCTAGCTTGTAAATTGTTGCCACGCGAGGCCGTCCGCCAGTATATGATACGCGCGGCGGTTGAACCATGCAGGCTTGCTTGCTGCAGCCCGATCCAACCGCCGCGCGCTTATAAATCGGACGGTACTAGCACTTGGGCAGATCGTTCAGCGGAATATACCCGGCGCGCCCACATGATCATGGAGAATCCACTAATTACGCGCTGCGCATAATGCATGGACACTGAGTGCACCCTGCCGCCCAGCCGGCCATGGCCAGTTCGATCAAAATTGTCGATCATTCCTTCAACCATGCACTGCAATGATGGTGCCTGGCAATCGCACTAGACATTAGTATACCAAGATACTCTGGTGCAATTCATGTCCAACCGAAGAGAACGCCACTGTAATAATAGTGACCGCCGCTCCGATTTGCCAATCAACTTTAGGCTCGGAGTACAACGACGTGATTTGTCCCGGCTACTAAATTAATCTCAAAAAAGAGATTTGGCTGTGCCCGGAAATGGTGAAAAACTCGCATCCAAATATTTATGTGGTTACAGGTGACCGTAGTTGAGCATTGTGGGTTGCATGCTAACACCAATGATCCCGAGACATTGCCGCCAGTGTATGACAATATTGCCTCAGTTGGCGCTCCGCAACGGCCAGGATCCTGGAAAACCCGCAATCAAAGCTTATATGTGATGTTCAATCCTAACATGTTGGGTATTACCAATGGCATTGCCGGATACTTAAACAGGATTTAGCACAAACTGAACCTCCTATAAATGACGTCTGCACCTTTTGACATATTATTCTGAAGTATGTACAGATCAACTAAGTGTTGGTCCACTACAAACCTAACCCGAGCAAACCGCAAATCAACCCGAGGATCCCCTATATCGTTCTTGTATTGTAGGAACCGCACTTTGAGCACTTGTGATAGACAAAGTGGAAGGATGCAGTGCCCTTGTGTTCGCAATCGTTGCACAGGATTTCCTGCAAAGAGTAAAAGAAGTGCATGTTATTTTCTCTTGACTGCCTGAAGAAAACTTGGATGGCACCCATGCTCCCTAGCAACGCGTCTGTGCCAGTCTATCAGTGAAGTACGGCATGAGAAGATTTGAAAAGGTGCTGCCTATCTTGACTCGAACGAATGCAAGAAAGCAAAAGTAGCACCAGACCAGCAGAAAAGGTTGGAAAATGCAATGGGGGGGCGCTTGGGAAGTCACATCAGGACGCAAAGCAGAGGAAAGGATATACGTTAAAGGTGCTGGCCAGGGTTTAGTCCGGGTGTCTTTCAACAATCAAAGACGACGGAAACGCTATTGAAAGACGGCATGAAGACACAAGCAAATGCGGTGGCCTGCTCTTGCTCCCAACTCGCGCTCTCAAAGAAAGGGACGAACGTGGAAGGGAGGCGAACAAGCACAAGCCTGGCGCGCGTGCCTGCTTCTCGTTCCGGTACTCATCGACGATTCGACCAAAGATGGCACTATGACCAAAAGCAGAAGCCAACGCTTTTTGCCTTAAGGAATGCATGCCACGGAGAAGGCGCGGGGGGGGCTTGCCTGTTTTTTGATCCCAATACTCTCAGAAGCTACAGCGAAAGATGGCTTGGAAGGCAAAAAAGCAGCCAACGCCCTTTGGAAGGACACTTTGACCGAGAGCGGGGGGCTTGCCGGGTTCTTATATCGATTTTCGGTAGGTCCTCAAAATCACGGCCAAAGTTGGCCCTATGGCGAAAAAGGAAGTCAGCAAGCTTTTAAAGAGAGTCCTACGGAGAAACGGGGTGCTTGCCTGTTTTGATCCCGGTACTCTTCTGGCAGATCCTCAGTCTCAAGCAACGCGTCCAGTTTTGGGTTTGGGACAGTCGAAACGGAAGCCAGCAAACTCTTAGAACAAAACTTCCAACCAGAGACGGAGTGCTTGCCTGTTTTTGATCCCGGTACTCCTCGGGCAGTTCCTCGGTCTCGAGCAACGCGTCCAGCATGCCAAAGTAGACGGCCATGTCCCCTAGGGACTTGCTGCAGATGGGGCACGTGTAGTGGCCGTGCGTGTATGACTGCAAGAAATGAGAATTAAATGGTTAACTTTCACTCTTCTTCAATATCAGAATAGAGTCTATAACGTCAGCAATTCTCATCGTGCGTTTGTTTCTCTCTTACGGAGGAAACATGTATGATGAGGTTATCCGTGACTTTCAAAAATTTCGTAGAGGTTCCAAAAGAGTTCCAAATCGTCGCCGAACAACCATCACTCTGGGAAGTTTAGAGACTCAGATTGTGTAATCACTCTGACGGGCCTACTTCGAACAGGCATGTTGTGCTCAATTTTATTCTACTGCAAGAAGCGCGCACAAAGCAGTTGCTTCAGAACCCTCCACAAGTGTCCTGCACGTTGCCAGATAACTCTCATCGCTGTTGGACAGACTTTGGGCCTTTCCGGATACCCAACCAAACAGCTTCCGGAAGCTTACGAACATTTACGGACAAACCCCAACGCTCCCAGCTCTTTGGACATTGCCTGACAGCTGGCGAAGGCTATCAAAGGGTTAACATACGCAAACGGACGCTGAATGACTGCTATCGGACGCTTTCGGACAATAACCAAACACCGCCGTACAGGGCTCGGACGGCTCACCTGTTAGCAAAGGGAGTGCATGCAGTGGCCGGACAGCTGGCAAAGGCTGTCATTCAGCAAACGAACGCTTATCGACGCTGGAAAACTGCTTTCGGACGCTTTCGGACAATGACCAAACACCGCCGTACGGGGCTCGGACGGCTCACCTGGTAGCAGAGCGAGTGCATGAAGTGTCCGCAGGGGAGCGCCTTGACGGGCGTGTTGGACGTGAAGAGGAAGTCGTGGCAGATGGGGCAGTTGGACTCAAGGCCCTTCTCGCGGCATGTGTGCGACGCGAGCGAGAGCGACATGCACGCGTTGCACGACATGCAGTGGAAGAAGTCGATTCCCAAGCCCTGGAAGAAACATAGGTACGGGGTTATGGTTTGGGTTTCAGGGCTTGTACCTTCCAAGGTTGTTCACTGCACGTATGCGACATGATCGAGAGCGACATGCACACCTTACACGCGGCATGCACTGTACAGTATGAAGTTGAATGCCCAAGCCCTGCAGGACTCTTCTGTACGGGGCTGTAAAACACTGCTTGGGGGTTTGGAGGCCTTGAACTTCAAAGCAGAGGGCCCAAGTAGACGCTTAACAAGGAAAGCTTGAACTAAGCATGAAGTTGACGGAATAGCGCACGTTGACTCACTGAAGAGGTGCAGATAGGGCGGCGGTAGACGCATTTGTGCACCCTTGCCCAAGACTTAAAGAGAACCAAAAGCATGCCGCAGCAGAAACGATATGACCGCATGAGCAGAAAGAAAAGATCAGTATGTCTAAGAGGCCACTCTTTGCCAACCCACAGAAGTTGGAGCAGAAGCGACAGTTGACACCCTTATCAACGGTAGCAAAAGACGAACAACAACGAGAGAAGATGGTTCTTGGCCTTCGTACCATTTTAAGCCGTAAGAGATTGCATAACGTCCTTTCCCATAACGTCAGTTCGTCATCAGTGTCAACGGGCATCAACGTCAACGGAGGAATGAAGGTTGGAGCCTATATGGTTAAGAGCCAGAGAAAAGCAGAGCGGAGGAGAAAAAGGGAAAGGCCGCACCTTGCCAACCCAGCAGAGATTGCGGAAGCTGACAGACGTCTTTGCCCAAAACGTCAAAAATTGCCAGCACGATTAAGAACGAGACCAAGAAAAGTCAAATATTGAAACAGCAGTCTGGGAACTGAAACAAAGTAGACCGCACCTTGCCGACCCGAGGTTGCAGAAGGGGCAGTGGTAGGTTGCCCCAGCCGTCTTAGAACTCCCCGCACAGCCTAGGAATGGAACAAAAGAAATAGAAGAAGATAAAACAATGAAGCTTTACCTTGCCAACCCGGCAGAGGTTGCAGAAAGGGCAGTGGTAGACGTCCTTGCCCGAGTCGTCGAAGAACTTGCACACGGCGCAGTAGTAGCGCGCCATGCTGCGCCCGTTGCACGAGGGCGTCGCACAGTGCTGCGCCACGGGCTGCACCTGGAGACACGTCATGCACATCATCTCGCGGACGGCGTGCCTGCACAGGGTAACGTCAACCAAAGGTCAGCATGTGACGTCAGCGTTTAGCGGATGGTTACATCGACAAACGTCAGCTAAAGGTCAGCGCGTGATATTAGCGCTTAGAGGATGTTGCCAAAAACAGAAGGTGGTGCCCCGAAGTCACGTCCTGCACATCATCTCGCGAACAGCATGCCTGCAGACGATGAGGTCAGCGATCGTCAGGAGGTGCAATGCAGAGTAGGCAGAGAGGGATGTCATGCTGAGTGAGTCCAATCGCTAGAATTTCTAAAGCCCAGGAGGTTGGAAAGTCTTGAGGCAGTCATGCAAAACTGCAAGCCCGCGGAAGTGCATGTGCAGAAGGTCAACCGGTCGTCAGTGAAGTAAGAACACGGCGAGGTGACAGGCCATCAAAGGAAAGGAGGCTGTTTACTGAGACAGCCGGCAACGAGGGAAAAGGCACCTCTGGAAATTAGCAGGCAGAGGGGTGAGATCGAGGCCGAAGATCGTTGTTCGGATTCTGTGTAGTGCAGACTCACGTACCTTTGCCACGTGATCTTTGAACGGGCCAGAAGAGAACTTATGAAAGTGCGCAGCAGCACAATCTGTGCCGTCACAATAGCAGGTCAGAGCTCATGCACCGTTCCGAAGCAGAGCTGCTTTAGCATGTCCAAAATCTACACGCTCGAATCACAAGCGACCCAAGGACAGATGTTGGTCCGGAAATGTTCAAGATACGTGCAGAGTAGCGTCTCAGTCGACTTGTGCGCATTCACACCAGAGAGCAAACCAAGCTCTCACCTGTCCATGGTGTGATCGCTATCCTTGTCATGGCAGAAACGGCACGTGACGAGCTGTCCACAGCACGCGGCCTTCACTTTGCAGTTGCGCTGGTAATGCTCGCAACCGAATATGCCCTTGGCTTCGTCGTGGTACGACGGCCGCAACTCCTGGGAGCCCTCCCCGCCGGTGGCGGCAGATGGGGCGACCTTTTGCTGGGCAACAATCCATCGACTGCACACAGGAGAAGATGAAAATCAACTTCATAACAAGGAGAACCGCGGGTGTGGGAGATTTGCGGGCAACGGATGGCCTTGGCTTCGTCGTTATACGACGGCCGTAGCTCTTAAGAGTCTTTGCACCGGAGGCCGGAAATGGGGCCACTTTTGGCTGCGCCACAATCAACTGACTGCGCAAAGAGAAAAAAAGGTTTCATAACCAGGTGATAAAAGTAATCCACGCTAATAAAGATACAATCCGGAAGCACAGGTTTGCTGGAACCCCTGTCCAGGTAGATTGCCCGCAACTATTGAGAGCCCTTATTGTCAACTGATAACGGGGCAGATTGAGCAAAGACAAGGAGGAGGTAGTGAACCGGACTGCAGACTCAGCACTTGGGCCTTGAAACCGCAAAACACCATCCGCACTTGCCTTCTCTTTTGACGGTGAGACGTTATCCACGACTTCACAAGTGAACGCACCTGGTCATAAGGTTCTGCATGAGGTACGCCTTCCGTTGCGGCTCCAGCGTGCTGTCCCTCGACACCCTCCGGATCGCCGCCTCTAGTTCCTTCTGGTTCATCCTGAAGATATCCTCCCACCCCGGCTTAAAGTTACTCCCCTCAACACCCCCCTCCTTTCCCCCACTGCTCGACGCCCCCCCCTCGCCACCGTTTCCTACCGGGGGGGCGCCGGAGGCCGCATCCTCACCCCCCCGCTCGCCCAAACTAACCCGTTCCGCCCTGTGCACCAATTGCTGCTCTCGTAGCTCCTCGAGCTTCTCGTCTTTCCCCCCCCGATCGCTTTTGCTGGGCTCCTGCCCCCCCATTTCGTCGCTATCTTCCGTCTCCTGGTCCAGGGGGATCACCGGGACCCCCCCGTTTTGTTTGAGGTACTCGGCGACCTCCGCCAGGCGACTGCTGTCGCCATCTTCCAGGGCTGCGGCGCTCTTGGGCGATAGCTTATGGTCGCCGCTCTTGTCGCCCTTCCACCACGCGCTGAGCCACTGGTCGAACATGGTGTTGCGCGAGGCGTTGCGCCAGTTCTTCATCATCTCGCCCTGTCAAAACGGACAGAACAACGTCAGGTTTGTCATACTTCTTCTTTGAGCAGTCACTCGGAGCCAATATCCATCATCGTTGTGTCCTCACTGACTCGTATCAAAAATAGGCAACCGATTGGTACCTGAAGCGTCTCTTCAGCAGGCGCTGTTATTGGTGAGAGCGGCCACCACAGGCTGCCGCTTAAGCTTTGTTTGTGCTCCTTAGGCAAGAGGATACTTGACAACAAGAAGCTCACTGGCTGATCAACCGCAGAAAGGGTACAAAAGCAACCAGCTTCTGTGAACGAAGACCATAGCTTTGAACGAATTTGCAATTTGGGGGCATCGATTTTTGTCTGAACCTTGACTGGGAATCTTCAAATGCTCGACCTTCCAGACTGGCCTTCCAAGCACTCCGTCACTGACGTTCGGAAACAACTGTCCTCTACTGATGCCCAGCAACAACGAGTATCCTCCAGAATGAACTTCATGCACGAAAAACCGCACCTGCTCCTCGTCTGTCAGAGCAGTGGTCACAAATGGCAGCATCGCTTGCAGCACCTCCGCACCCGTGCAACCAATGATGCGCCCCACGATCGCGTCCTGTTCCTCGACACTGGAGATTGGAAGAACAGAGTACATTCGAATGCTGGTCAGATTCTGCGGAGCTGTCCTTCTTTTTCCGCGCCTGAGTTGACAGCACACGCAAAGAGGAAAGAGGCCACCCTCACTGCCAGTGTAGACTGTGCAGATGCCTCTCGAATGAATGAACTTGTAAGACGCCTTAAGTCTGACACTTCGGATTTTCGACAACAGACACACTCGAGGAGCATAACGGGGATTGATTACAGTAGGTACAGTACTGCCGAGGTAAATGGTGAGTTCTGATGGTGCGAACCTGAGGCTTCAGTATCTGTATCGAGCTAAAGTCAGGAGCATACCTGAAGTGGATGCTGAAGAGCGGCCACAGCTCCACCTCCTCGCTCGACACGTGCTTGTCCAAGCTCACGCGCACCGACTTGCACATCCGCTGAAGCTGCAAAACCCGCGTGTGATACTCGTCCAACGCCCCCTGCGTTCCCACCCCCCCTTCTTTCTCCATTAAGCTTGAACCCGGGTTCAATACCACACCACCCCCTTTCCGAATGATCCCATCGGACGCTCCCATGTTACCCCCGTCCGAGCTACTTGACGGCTCCGTTTCTACAGCGGCTTTCTCCGAAAGCTTCGGAATGTCGGTGCCACCTGTCGCAGCCGGCTGCGCGCCACCTGGCACTGTGTTCCCGCCAACGGTTACCGTTGCTGCGCCCGGCTGCCGAGCCCGCTCCGCGTGCGCACGCGCCCGGCACGCCTTCAGATCCTCGAGCGCTTTCGCAATTTCCTTGAAGAGCTGCTCCTCCTGCTGGTGGTCGATCGAGTAAGAGTGGCTGACATTGTGCAGCGCCTCTTTCGCCTCGAGGGCCGGGAACACGATGTCGTCCTCTGCCGCGCTGTGCGCCCGGTAGATCCCCCACAGGAACCGGAACCGCCCGTCAAAGTCCGAGAAGAACTGGTCGTCGCAGTGCAGAAGCCGCCCCGAGGCAAGGTCCAGGTACTCCAGGTCTCTCCGAATTGCGCGGTGGAACTGGAAGATGTGGTCGATCGGGGCGCGCCCCCCGGTCATCGTGCCCCCCTTGATTTTACCCCAGAACGAGGTCGGACCGCTCATCCCCGGGCTTCGAAGCGGGAGGCCACCCCCGGGGAGGTCTGCGAGCGGCCGCGTCGTCCATGCAGAGCTGCCCCGCGAGAGCTTTCCCTCCCCGTTCTCCCCCCCTGAAACGAGATCCACTGCTTTTGCCCCCGCTTCCACCTTGTTCTTCTTTCGGGGAGGGCTGTTACCCCCCGTTGCACCTCCTCCGCTGCCCTCATCGCCTTCAGACGACTTCCGTTTCAGCACCCCTCCCCCTTCCGCAGAACCCCCGTCCTCCGCGACCTGCTCAACTGTCTCCGCATCGTCTGCCGCGGGGTGGCTGCTGACGTCATCACCCCCCTCGGAGTGGGACCGGGTGTCACCGCTCGAGCGGCTGGCGGAGCGGCCCCGATTTGCCCACCCCGAGAAAAGGGCCACCAGGGCTGAGTCAACAGGGGGTGCGGCCAACTGCATGTTGCGCACCATGTCGGTTGCCTCGTCTTCACTCAGGAGGGCCATCACCCAGGGGAGGACCTGCAGACACCAAGCGTATCTGACTAAATAATTGCAGAGCATCCAGAAGCCATTGGAGGCTTCAACGAATACTTTTCAGGCGGCAACTTAGGGCTGCGGCTCTAGCACTAGACACCTACTGCTTCTCCACACAGAACTACCTGTAAACCTTCCACACACAACTTCCGGTGAACCTACTAAAAACCCTGATATCAGGAGACCCTAAACCTTCAAACCCAAAACCCATCATCCTCACTTGCCTATCCTTGGTACAACGAATGAAGCGCAACTTGAACATCACCTAATCAAGGAGCTGCAGCAGCATCGCACGGAGGCTCTGGTACATAAATACCTGCTGCTCATCCATACCGGATTGCACCAAGAAAGCCTAACTCCCTAATGTTACATTTCTTGCATCCCAAACCTAAGTACGAACCGAAAGTTAACTCCAATTTTCACCTGTTCAAGAAGGCGCAGCGGCATGGCCCGGAGGCTCTGGTACATGAGAACCCGCTGCTCCTCCACGCTGAAGTGCTGTTGCACCAGCGGAAGCACCTCTGCTTCTTCGTCCAGGAAATGCTGACGGACGGCAGATACAATGGCCTCCGCCTGCTCGCACAGGTCCCCAATGATCTGCTCTGCGGCAGCGCTGCCAATCTGGAAAAAATATGAATTTTGCAATCAGGAGAAGACTTACGATCATGCAGTTAGATAACAGTCTCTGAATCAGAGAGTTCGTTCCTGTAAGAAAAGAATGTAATTCCACGAAGGGCTTGAGTGAACATAAAGAAACCACATTAGCAGATAATCTGTTCACGCAGGTGAGGCAGTGAACGAAAGAAGTAGATGGAGTTCCCTCCTCTCTTGCAAATGGTGAAAGTCCAGATGTATACCAAGCTACTCGAGAGCTGAATTGGAGGTAGCCCTCACTACCAGCCTCTCAACTATTACAACCAGGCAATCTCCTTGCAACGATCTTCGTATGCACCAACTCCTTACCTCTGCCGTCCGAGCCCCAGCCAGCAGCCGCCCGACATCTGAAAACTGCTGCTCCTCAAGGCCATGATAGCCCATGTACGTGCGCGGCAGCTTGACCTTGCGGTCCAATGCGGCCTTGAACACGACGTTGTCTTCCGCGGCGCTGTGGAAGATGCAAACATCCGACAGGAATCTGCAGAAGATTGCCGCATGACGTTAGAAAGCAATCCCTTCTGGAAAAACCAGGGGCTTCCGTGCAAGGGTATCCTTCGCCCAAGCATTCTGAAACATGCCAACGTGTCATCTCTAATTCCTAAGAGTTGCCCTACCACTTTTACGTCTAGTCTCAAACGCCAGTTGGCACGGAAGCGATGTTTATGAAAACCATGACGATGCTTATGAAAATCTAGTCTCAATCTCCCCTGGCCCCTCCTTAGGGGGGGAGACGTCCACCTAAACTTGTAAGGCATAGTCACCCAATGGAACTTCTGCCAGCCTTCCACTTGGAAGGGAAAAAAAGTGAAAACACTGACCTGTACCGCTCCACCAGCGACGTCAGGCTGACGGCATTGAGCATCCCGGTCAAACGCAGTGCCCGGGCCTCCTCTGCAAAGCTCTCTAGCTCCTTCCGAATCGCATTGTGGAAGTGAAGTATCTCATTGATTGGCAGGCGCTCCTTAACCGCTCCCTCAACCCCAGTCTCGCTCAGCGCTGTCTGAGGAACCCCACCCCCCATCAGTGCCATTCTGCTTGTGTGATTCAGTCCGTCCGGCTTCGCGCCTCCGCTCAGAGCCTCAACGCTTTCCAACTTTCCTTGTTTTACGGAGTCCCTCAAAGCTTTTCCCGGGCCTGAGGATTCGGCGGTTACGACAGCCGCGGCAAACGTGTTCACCGAGTGACCTATCTGTGCGTCAGCAGGGCGCCTGTCTTTTGCCAGCCAGGTTTGAACAACCTGCATTACAGAAAAAAAGCATGTAAATCAGGCCGTCACTGAGAATTGAACGATGGCAGTGGACTCTGCGATCCCCAAACATGCGCCGCAAGCCGTTCAATACTGAAGAAAGAAGACAGCCACCTGACAATTCGTATGAGTCATTCCGCCAAGTAAGAGCCATCGAATGCACCAAGACTGGACATCTCAGGACGCCCTGATCAACCAGCCTCGCTGCTATGAACTCTCGTTGACTGCGCTGTACAAAGCAGGCAAGATCAAGTCAGAAGAGGCGGCATCTCCCGCACCTCCAGCAGAAGCTCTTCGCTAGGAACCACGTCATGGATATGCGCCACCATTTCTTGTCGCTCTTGGGGGTTCAGCTCCGCAGCAACCCAAGGCAAGACTTCCTCTAGAAGGTTTACTGGAATGCAGCACATAAACTGCCATACCAGAGCGGCCTGCTCCTCAAAGCTGAAGTTTTGCATTAGCAGAGGGAAGACCTGCAAAAGAAGAGTCCTCCGGTTCAGAGGTTTCAGGCCAGTGCAAGGTATAACTATCAACTGTCTGGCTCGATTCAACGAATAAGAAGTTGACAGTGACTTGTCTTGCCAGCTTGATATATCAACTTGTCTTTCCAACTTGATCGGTTCTGTTGAGGAGGAACACTTTTGGGAAGAGAACTGACTACAACATTTGAAGAGCCCCCTCACAAATGCATTCTCAGCCATGCAAAATTGCAAAGATGCGAAGAGAAAGACAAACAGAACCTTCCCCGAATGCTTTTGGTGAGTGCAGGTTGCAAAGTGAAAACGGCAGGGAGATCAAGCAGAACAATCCAAAAGCACAGGGATTTTGTGAATCCTGATATGGTCCCAAAAATGAAACACGGCCTTCAAAGCATGAATCCAAAGATAATCTTTAATATCAACGCAACAGTACACTCGACCACAATGCACAACCACCACCGCCGGCAGACTGTCTGAATGACTCTGGACTCATCCAAACAGATTCACCCGCTTCCCAGAGCCACTACGCATTTGCAATTGGAAAACACTCAAAAAGCCCTGATGTTGATTATGTTACAGGTGGAAAGTCACTGTGATTACTAACCGGTTCCTTAAATCGCACTAGGGTTTCTGCACAACTTCAAACTGGTCGGCACTTGTAGTGCTCAAAAGCAACCGGACCAGTCTTCAGCATGACTCCCGTAATCGGCTTCCCGAAAATAGTACCCGATGCTTTATGGATCATAATAGATGTATACTAGTATGTAAGAATCCAGACCGACTCCATCACGGGTCGCTCAGAAACCTCCAGGTCATTTGACTCGGACAAACACGGGGATTGACAAAGAAGAATTACCTGTTCTTCCTCCTTATTCAGGTGCTGCCTCAGAGTCGTCTGCAGGGCCTCTGTTGTGCACACCAGCTGCCGCAAGAGCTCGGCCCTCTCTAGTTCCCCACTCTCCGACCCTGCAGCAGATAAAAGCTCCGCAAGCTGCACGAAGATGTCCCCCTCGGCCTCGTGCTCTAACGAGTATGCATGGGCAACATTCTTCACCCTCAAGTCCAGGGCTGGAAGAATGACCTCATCCTCCGCCTGGCTGTGGTACTTGTACACCGACTGCAGAAACTGGTACCTTTTTGATAAAGCACTAAACTCGACCTGCGCCCCGTTTTCTAACGCAACGACAGCTTGGCAGAGCCTGGCCAGCTCTGATTTGATCGCCTTGTGGAAATGGATAATCTCCACAATGGGGGAGGAACAGCTAAATCGTTTTGCTGGGGATGGCGGCGGATCCGGACGAAGGACTGCGCCGGTCACGACTTGCACAGGCCCCTGCCTCTCCATGCTTATAAGCAGCCCCTGGGCGGCATCTCCTGGCAGAAGAGCAGCGCGAAGGAAGCCCTGACGATAAACCTTAACAAACTGTGCTCAGCCAACGACATCCGCGAAAGGAAGGGCGCCCTCAATCTGGCCAGGGCCCAGCACGCGGCAACCATAAGCCGCATCAAACAGTTCGTGTGCAGAGTGCTTCTTCTCGCCAGTTCTGCACATGCACACAGCAGCACACTGCACTAGCTGCAGCAGCATGCCAGCAATTTACAAATCCGCCCTGCCTCGAATGTCGCCTGCACTGTGGAAGGGAGTGTTCACACTGACGGAACCCAGAGTTAAAAGAGGGTTTGTCGGGCACATGAAGTAATTTCTTGGACTGGCAGCGAGGGGGTTAGCCGCGCTGAGCTGCGCTCGATGTGGATTTTCACTTGACAATCTTGAGTGTGTCCGTACATCGTACGTTCGGCCACATGAATTTCCCTGGATTAGGGTTTTAGAATTCAGAAACCCTAACGGTTGGCTTTTGCTACTTACGGCGCGGGCCGGCGGCCGCTGTTGGCAGGCCGGCGGCCGCGCGTTTATACGGTATGTGCGGTATGTCGGCATGTGTCAAGGGTAGGTACCGTACAACTCACGGATATGTGGTGTACCGCGGTACATAACAAAATAGGTACCGGTACGACCAACGATTGGCAACGAAATTGCCTCTGACATAATCACGGATCAACTTACTCGCTGCACAGTGCAAGCCGGACCTCTCTGTACGGTAGGGCTGCCTCCACACTGCCGGATACTTGGGTCGTCGGCTACTCCGAGTACCCCCCTCTGGAGTATCCCGGGCAAGTAGCCCGTCCAGACTGCGGGATACTCAGCCCGGCTACTTTGTATTCCGCGATGATCGGGAGCTACTTCGTCTTCTCACGTGTGAACGAGTAGCCCGGCAATTATCCTTCAAAAAGTAGGCTACTCGGCCGGCTACTCGGCGGTTGGCCAATCAGACTTCAGCATGACGGTCCAGTAACCAGTTGTTGAACCGGACGCGTGCGAACACCGACAGTCTGCTTTCTTGAATGATTGCGCGAATATCTTTGAGTCAACGTGGCACGCTGAGAGTGACCGGCGGAAGTAGCCGATGTCCGAAGTAGCCCCCGGTGTGGAAGCGGCTACTTCAGCTCCCGCATTCTGCGGAAGAGCTCCCGGTTCCTCGGAGAAACTTGAGAAGTAGCCGGGTACTCCAGTATCCCCAAGTATCCCCCAGTGTGGAGGCAGCCTAGGATTCATTCCTACCTTGATGTCGGATCTTTCGATCTGTACGGTACTACGGTGACGGAGATACATACCCGTACTGACCCGTACCGTCAAGGGAATTCGCCACCTTTTGGTGCGAAAATTTAATTTCGTTCGTTTGAGGTTTCACCTGACGCAATTTGAGAATTTATTTTACATTTCGCACAAAGCAGTTTTTTGCGTATTTTGCCCTTCAAAACAGGACTTTTCACCATTTTGAGATAATTCTTTAGTTTCGCCTTTTCGCAGTTAGGGTCCCACTTACTTTCTAACTTTTCGCACCGACCCCAGAATATTTAGGCGATTTTCCTTGGCGGTACGGGTACGTCAACAGTCAGGCAGGTCACCGTGGCGATGAAGCTGACTCGCAGCCCGCAAAGCCTTCATCCGGCCGGATCCATCCCAGGTCCATCCCGGATGAAGCAAGCCCCGAATGATCAGCCTGTATTCCTGGACCAGGATTCCTGTGACGATCCTGAGGCTGTGTTCCTTTTGATCCTTTGCAATGTGCATCAGCTTTCAACCCTGTGCATCTATTTATCATGCTCCGTGCCTGTATTCAGTTCAGATCCTCAGTCAACAACGTCCTTCTGGCCTTCTTATACTAGCCTGGATGCACAGCTGACAAACGAAACACTCCCTTCTTGACGGTTCAGTTTGGCAGCCGCATTCAGCTGCAGTGCCACTTGCGGATTACCAGCCAGGTGAGCAAGCCTGAGAGGATTTCCGGTTTGTCAAGGGGATATCAATCATCGTTGTGCAACCATTTCGAGGGCCAGCTTCTTAAGGAAACTCATGACATGATATAACTCTTGCCACACTTTGCTCTACACTGCATTCAAGAACTCTAATCCCAATCTAATATGCTTGCCTGCATTATGCCTGGTCAAACAGGCGCAAAATACAGCTCTACCTGCTTGAGCGCCTGCACCTGTTCCACGTGACATACCTTGAGCTACTCTAGCAAGGCACAATATTGGCCCAGGTACTGTTTGATTTTATGAGATGCTATTTGACTATTCAAACAATGCAGGCACCCCCAAATCAATCGCATTGCAAGGATCGTGAATCTGCCTGTACGTTCAGATCCATTACGTTGGGGGCAATGAGGAATGCTATTGTTCTTGGCGCACTTTTCTCCCTCTTCTGCGCCGCATCCACGCGCGCAGACATAGCATCTGGTGTGGTTGAGGTGAGCGCCCGCACTGAGTCACTTTTGCACCTGAGCTAGGCCCCTCAATATCAAACTGAGCTCTCGGCAGCTGAGGCGTGACCATCTTGTTGTATATGCATGATGCGCTTGATCAGGCTTGTGTGCATGCTTGTGTGCATCAGTGATGACTGACAGCAACACGCTGTGATCTACATTCACTGATTGTTGTCACGAAACCTTAGCAACATGCAAAAGACCGCAGTATTAGACCACACTCGCTCCGTTCTTACACGTTGACTAATGATGCACATTGGGCAGGTGTATAACGCAACAACGCGTGATGGCTTGTAAGACCAGCCAGCGTCATCAATCCAGCCTCGCAGACCGCACTTCCCAGCTCGTTTTGGGGAAGGGGGGGACTTGTGATTGTTGGGGTTCCAGATAACATTTACATTTTTAGATTTGCAGATCACTCGCAATGGCTCGCATGATCGATCCACAGGGCACGCCCTGGAATGATCGTCAGAGCTTTCCTGACTCACAAATCACATGGTGACTTGTGCTCTGCAGGATGTGGCTCAACCTGCCGTCAATGGCCACCGCCACCTTCTGCAACAGGCCGCCCCCCTGTGCACCGCGGCCGGGCAATACACAGCTGACCCGGCCTCCGGTTGCACTTCCTTCTGGCAGTGCACAGCCAGCGGCCGGGGCTTTTACCAACAATGCGGTCCGGGGACTGCCTTCAACAACGCGTGCACCTGCTGCGACTTCCCATCCAACTTCGTCTGCGGGGGTGACACCACCCCTTTCCCAACAACCAAAGCACCGACTCCTGATCCAACCACGAAAGCACCAACTCCTGCGCCTACCACCCAGTCACCCAG